TGCTGATTAGTAATATAACAGTTTATTACTTAGAATGGTCTTCAGTTTTTAGTTTGCTAACCACAAAGGACCCATTTAAGCAGTCTGGAGTATCAATAAAGTATCCACAGTTATATAACCAACGTGTATGGCCAAATCGATGCACTTCCAGGTCACCATATTACGTTTAAATGTAATATAGATTAATTCTGCTGGGAATACTTGTTGTACTGGATGAAAATAGATGTTGAAACAGTCAATAGTCCATAGACCCCGAGTATCTTTTGTATAAGGATAGGCGGCATCAATCGAGAAGTGTATTTGATGCGTAGTGAGTTCCATATGAAAAGGTTTCTTGGTACAGAGTACTAGAAAATGTCTAGTGTGTAGCCATTGCAGGTAAGTGACGTCCTGAGCCAATATTTTAATCGGTCTTCGGTTTAATCATCTGTTCAGAGTGACTCTGCTACTGATACTGTCGGGAATGGTCAGACGGTTCGTCGCGAGAAAAATCATGACGAGTAGGTGAGTTAATCTTGAAGATGGTCCAGAATTTGCGAAAGAGTGGGAGCAGTCCAATGGTTGTTGGCGTCAATGAGCAGGTGTTGTATCTTGTATCAGTCCATCTCATAGAAGTCAATTAACAGCCAATGTATCTCCTTGACAATGTTGCATACTTTAATGTGAAGTTTATGAAGTTTTACACATGTGTAATATTCACCAGAGTTAAGCGATGGTTCTTCCGCTCTTTAATTACTTGCGCTGCAACAAATATTTTCAGTACTATCAATCTGAATTGCTGGAAAAGGTAACACTTGAAGGGTGAGAAACCCCCGAACTTAGACATTCACCTGAATTAACTGATTGTATGGATACTTACTTATTCCTGAAATCACTGAGGTAAGTCACCGTTGGTCAATAAATCTACGAACATAAGAATCGCTGTTAAAATAGACGTTTACCTGACAAAACACTTGGTCTTGCAGATGGGTAAATCATGTCGACCACGCACAACGCAAACACCAAATATTGCGCCTTTCGATTTGAAGAAAGAATTATGAACAGAAATGACCTAAACTCGGAACGATGCGTTTGTACTGTACAGTGACATTTTCCTGCTACTTTCACAACATTTAGACACTTGGTATCATGAAAGTGTTTAATATCTGTATTATTCAGTACTGCTAAAACCTTTTATGTTTCTCTGCAACTATCAATTTGATGAGGCCTGTAAACTGGCCTCCCTCACGTTAACTTTATAATTTGAGAATAAAAATATTTATTTATTATTATTTATTTTTCTTTCTCGTCTCCCTGTTGGGTCAGTTTTCTCTCAAACATTATTAGTTTAGGAACTGAACGCTTTCGTCTCGCATAGCTTTCTTCTTTTGATCTTGCAACTTCGCCTCAAATCTGGAGTAGGGTTTCGTAGTTCGTGCGTAAGAACTTCACGCTAAACATTGTAGAAATGATACACAGTCTGTTACTATTTGTTTATTGAACCCTTGCTGTCCGAAATTAGAGACAGGGTGCCAAAGTGGTAGTGGCATGGCGGGGGGGTACAAAATCCTATATGAACACTGATAAACTTTTAACCTCGGGATGACAGTCACTCAAGTGAGGACTGATTAGCTTGGTCGCGTTACTGTCACCTGACTCCTGATCATTTCCGCGTAAATAAGTACGCGCTAGTACCAAACCAATTGGTACATCACCTGCGAGTAGGTGATGATAACAAAGGACGAATAAAGAAGCATGATGGAGAATCGCTCAGACGGGCACTTCACTTATCGGTCTAAGATAAAAACGTTACTTTTCGGAAGTGGTTTGAACTCTTCCGTCTATAAGTGGTTGAAGTCGGCATTCTGATTGCGTTGCTGCCGTTTAGAAGGGAAAGGATGCAGAGATGGAATATGTTGATGGGTGTATACCAACACGTCAGAATTAGATGCTATCAAGATACCTTAGACGTTCATCCATTTATTTAAGCCTCAGCACAATTTTAGTTGCCAAGATGGCGCGCTGTCAGGTAGTGAAGATGGCGGTGTTGGGGAAATTAAATAAAGTTACCCAGTTGTAAAGACTACCGACTTATGTGGATGATTGTCAGAATCGGCCTTAGTGATTAGTCTATTATGCCTTCGCGAAAGTCCGTCTACATTTCTGAAACGCCACTGATTGATTGTCAAGTCTAAAGGGGAAAATTCCAATTGAAACGCAACAATACAGCTGTCGGAAGGGAAATTAGCGCTGTCTGAAAATGAATGTTTGGCACTAATTGTTACGTTAAATCCACTGAGTGGCGCGTAACGGAGATACGAATTTCCAGAGTTCCCAAACCCAAAGCGAAATCAACCAAGTCCAAAATAGTGGATTGCCAAACAACGAATGTATACTCAGACAGCAACCGAACCCTATGAAAATTGTTCTTCAGTTTTGACGGCTACTGTAGTTTCTATCCGAAAAGAAATACTATGGTAACACGAACCTAAATAGGAAGTTAAGTATGGTTGCACAAGCAAATTGAAAGAAGTCAAACAAAATGAGTGGTTAATGTTTTTGAATACATTACAAGGACAGGATCAAAACACACAACACTGATCGACGCAGAAGTCCCAGATCGAAAGACAGCACTAGAACCACAAAGAAAATCCCGTTTCCTCTCATCTGTTGGGTTTTCCCATTAGGGTACACTGGTTGCTGAATGCAAACTGAAAATTCTGTTAGACGAATAGGTGCTCGTTTTTCAGTCTCGAACGAAAATATGTTAACTGATGGGGTGAACGTTAAACCTTGGTTCACCCTGTGAAGGGAACAAGAACATAAATCCTTAATCTATACCACTGAAATTTCGTCTCCCGGATGCAATGAAATCCATCGTAAACAAAAACTCTAAGAAATCAGAATCAGTGTGCATTACAAAAATAACCAAGGGCAAGAAAAAGAAGTGGCTCACCAAGCTTTGTCGTAATTCTATAGAAACACCAAAATTTATGCAGACTTCTCTGCCTTTAGAATCATTATAATCATTAAACGTATGCTCATTAAAGTCACGTTTATGGTTGGCTTTAAAATCTAGTTCTTGCCTTCGATAGGATTTAGAACAACATGGGTTAGACTTTCAGCACTTCATATTTTTTCCCTATGTATTTTTCAGAACTGGTAGACGAGCTACTCTGGCTCTGCATATCAGCGACCACTCGGTAGTGTAGCAGAAAATGCTGAGCGGAATGTCAGGTGGACGGCCAAAATATTTAGTGGGAATGCACATGCGTTTCTGAGGTTCGTGTTCGACATGTGAACAGTGTATTCGTTAGATGAGCTGCGGGGATTGATCGGCTTTAAACTGGTTACCATTAGGGAGTGACATCAGTTGAATAACTACTACATCTTGTTACACTGGAGAGCCACGAGGTACACCATACTAATGTCTGCTAGATAAAGGTCTAACGACCAGACTGTCCATGGAGAAAGATTTGGGGCTCAACTTCTCCGACACCCAGGACGCCAGCTCCAACTACTAAGGTATGACAACCAGAGCGAACGCCATTCCACACTTTCTGCGTAGACAGCTTGGCGCCCTCACTCCCGAACTCTTCCTCATTATTTTCAAATCCTACGTGCGGCCACATCTAGAGGTCTTCAATACGGTGGCTCCTCCAACACTCAAGAGAGACTCTAATCTCCTTGAAAGAATACAAAGAACTGGAACAAAATCTGTTGTGGGGCTAAGGGGAGAGACGTATCCTGAAAGACCTAAACAACTTGACCTATTTACCTTGGGTTATCGCAGGAAAAGGGGTGACCTCATTTTGGCACACAAGATCGCCCATCAGGCAGACCATGCAAACAAATCAATTTTGCCTGCAACTCAACGATCTTCACGAGGAAGCCCCATTAAGATAGCACACCAGAGAGCCAACGCCATACTCAGTTCCAAATTTTTCTCCCTAAGAGTATGTGCTTTATGGAATGCCTTACCGTGACACATCGTTATAGCTCCTCCAATCGACTCTTTCAAGAGGCGATTAGACAGTTATGTCACCTCGCATGGACTACCACGGACGTACTCAGGTGGTCACCAACCTCAGTGCCCCCCAACTCCCTCCTAACTACCACTCACTATCCCACCCCCTAATACACCCACATTACCTACTAATTCTTCCGTAGGGACCAAACCCACGTGACCATTCGGGCAATTCCCAAATACTTTTCTTTCGTTCTCATTTCTCTTTTCACCCCTCCTTTTCTTCTCCTTCCCTTTTCTCTTCCCTGTGTTATTATTTATCCCCTCTCTTTTTTCTTTTTATTCTCCCCTCATTCCTTTACCAATACCTTACTGTTCTCTTTCAGGTACCTACACAGACAGGAGTCACGGCAGTTATCTAAACGTCCCAGCAACCCGTAGCTCCCTAATCACTCTACAAATTACAACCTACTAACCCACAAAACATCCACCTCAACGAAGCTAAAAGCAGGAAAGCAGAGAGGATTTCCTCGTCCACTGCAGGAGTGAACCGAACAACTCGAACCAAGCCCTAGGAACTAGACGCGAGAGATCAAAAACTACCAGTTTTCTACGCTCGCACTATCAATATTGGATATTGGAGAGTGGAGGACAGCATCTAATGAGATTTCACGTAGCTTGGAAGACGGGTTTACTGTAGCGGTTGTGAGTCCTCGGTTTACAGGTGGATCTTAGAAACACAATGCTAAGACTTTGCATAAGAGATGTAGCTTGCAAAATAAATAACAACCTTGCAATTCCTTGGTTTTTGGAGAGCTGCAAAAGCTATGACTTGCTAACGTAAAGTGGATTGCAAGACTTTTGCATACAATCTGAAATCATAGGTTCAATTAACCTTTTGATTCGAAATTAGAACCCAGAAGTAATAAATCAACAGGTATTGTATTTTGAACATTCCTAGCTTGGATTTGGACAAAGCTTTCTATCTTCACAAGAAAAGTCTTCTTAAGAAAGTCAATAAGGAAGAATTAATTAGAGTTTAAAATGGTTGCGAATGACAAAACGCAAACACCAAGTCCTAATCGGTTTGTTTTATGGGGTATCTTGATTGCGGGAAGATTGTATTTTGTGCGAATTTCATCTGGGTAGGAGGTTGTTGTTTTCGCTTATATGCTGTACTGATAACTAGATTTAGTTCTCATAACAGCATTACTTAATAACGTGTGAGTCACTTGTTTTGTTTTGCACCATATTTCCGTTCACTGTGGGTCAAACATTGATTTTACGATACATTACTAGGTAATTTAATTAGTTTTTTGAAAACAGGTCTCTTAAAAAGTAGTAGTAGTAATTTTAGGGTAATGCTTATTTGCATCAATAGCACCTATCTGGCGTCCGAACAATTTGTCAAGATAAATATACACTAAATTTTCTTCGCACATAGCAAAGTAATTTCCTGTCCTTGATTTCTGTTACATATAGCTAAGTCAAGAATGTTGATAATTATTCCCTTTTTCTGAAATGTTGGCATTTGTGACATCAAACTGATGTCTCAGTAGCATTGCGCAGAAGATATCTACTTAGAGTTACTAACTATTGTCTTCCAGATCTGTCCCTTCCAACTTTTTTATTCTAACAGGCACGTCTGCTGGAGCCTGATAATAAGAAGTGCCTTCGGTAAATTCGTAAAAGCATACTATTTTAGGAGTAGAAAATCTTGTCACAGCACTAGGACTCTACTCCGAAGCACGCTTTTCCAACAAGAAAGTACGACGATGTGGCTGGACCATATGTTACCGTAACTTAAAGACCTAGAAACCCATTTATTAGCCATTTGACTGTGTTCAGACTCACGTCATTCATTTTTGTGCAGGCAACTTGCTAATATTTCAAACGTAACTGCATCAACACGGTCACTTATTGAATTCCTTTGTGTTGATAATTGTATTTCACAAAGCTAATAGAAAGCTTTTTACGTTAGTGTTAAGTAAAACCCAGCTCATAGTCTGCCCACTTACTCGAAGGAGTTTCAGTAGTAATGGCTTCATTGATTTCTAACCGCTCCTTAAGCTTATAAGAGGACCTTAGTGTGGACCTAGGAGCTGGTGATTGCATCCACTTACTTCATTTGCAACACCTTTTGATTCACTAAAAACTTTCATTCAGTAACCTCCCATATTATTTCCACCGATCTTTTTATCACAGTTGTTGGTAGTTCGGTTGTTTGGATAGTATCACCCAGTTTTATAAACTCAGGTACATTTCGGCATGTAACCCCGTGAAGTTTGTTTTCGAGAGTGTGACTTAGTATGCAGTAGAGATGCTAGAGCTGCTTACTGCATATTTCCCTTTCATTCATTCATTCATAATATTTCGCCCCTTTTTCGATTTTCTGTATCCTGACTTTTTATGCTTTTAAAGAGTAATTATAGGTACCACAGAGCATACTCATAGTTAACTGATATAAAAAATAAACTAGTCGAAAAAGTGAGATAATTAGACGAAAAATAGTGGTTAACTGAATGTTAAAAATAAGGTGAAGTGAACTAATCTGCTGGTTTATTACTGGTAAGTCATTTTATTCGTGACCAGCACCAACTCACCAGTCTAATTGTCGGTCTAAGCCATGTGAGATATAAGCTGCCTCATTGAGGCCCTGAAGGTGATAAGAATCAGTGCCTTGGAACTGTGTGATAGGGCCCAGAGTTCGTTGCAGTGGCGAAAATGTATGCGCCTTCTGTTGTCTTCGAAATCTTGAACGTTCTTATCAATTTTGTTTATTAATTCTCTCATTGCATACACGTTTGTGTACCTTATTACAGTATGGTAATCTAAACTGGTTTACATTTTTATCAGGTCCTACGTTGACTTGTCTACCTATTATTTGGTAGACTAACCTCTTAGATTTGTAAATTCTTACTCTCTTCAAATCCAGGATCATTGACAGGTTCACTTACCATGGTGCGGTAGTAAAAATCTGACCAACTGTTGGTTTGATGCATGTGGAAATATTTTTTGCTATTGATGTTAGACCGCTAGATGTTAGTAATTTTTAGCTGACATGATTTGGAATCAATTGGATCGACTCCAATGAATTTTTATCTGTGGAATTTGGTTGTCCTAAATTACTTTCCAGTAAATTTCTCCCATTTGTTTTGTTCCGTCTGTTGCTTAAATTTGGGCAGCTTCAACCTCCATATAATTGTGCAGCTGAATCTCATCTATTTCCTAAACGTAACTTTGTTGGTTCCATTTCGATGCATTGCTTGCATGTGGTGGGTCGCTATGAGCAATTTCAGGGTCGGCCACAGGGCGCTGGATATATGAAACAAGGCAGCTGGTGAAGTTGTAGAATTCCACCAATAAAGCAGCTGTGTTACGTATAATAAGCAACTGCTTACCCCGGCACTGTCAGTGGAAGTAAAATTATAATAAAAAACGGTTAAAGTACGTCAAACCAAGACGTAGCACCAGTCTCTGAAGTCTGACTGCTGCGTTGTACACAGAGGTGTGGATTGCCTTTCTGGGTTCTCTAGATAATAGGAAACAGTTGGGGACTTGATGAAAGTTGAAAATTAATCACAATACTGCAGATGTATATCCCCTTCATCATCTTCGAAGTGAGCCTCAATAAGGTTCATGTATTTACACTTTCACATCTCATTCACTTTTGTCTACTTTTATGTCATTCATTTGCTGTCAACTTGTTTTGTACATGGCGCTATGAGGTGTGGCTGTTACACGCCTATGCCAGCTTCTACGTTGGTGTCTGCGGACCGCATGTGACACATGTCTCTCTCTATGCTTGACGTTACTGCTGGCCAGAAACGAGTAATTGTCAGAACAAAAGTGCGAGAGATGATTACTATTGTCAGTTCGTTGGCGTGCGATTCCGTCGATATCTCCAAGATACCTCTCCGATTGGCTCAGCTTCCCTACTCTACTTCAGTGTTAACGTCAGTCACCTGCCATTATAACCTCATCTGAACGTTTTGCTTTCTGTAGCAAAATTGACTTCTCATAGAATTCATCCTTTGTAACATCTGAACTGAAGTCGGTGGAAGTCGGCAGGGATTACAAATAAGTTTCGACTAGTCTCCCGAGCCTTCCTAGTTTCTACAAATCCGTCCAGTCTAACAACACACCAACAACTGTTGACTGGTATCCAGTCGAGAAGCACACTTTCTGCTCTACATCTCTGGAGCGGAGTGATGTGTTAGTTTAGCGGCCGACCTTTTCCCAACCCCGACCTTCCCATCAGGAAGGCAGCATCAGCGTGACACTGTTGGTCATCCAAGAGAAACGCCTTACAGTTATCACAACCCATCCAGCCAGCAGTACGACTTCGCCCTCGAACCTCCATAATAGTGTAGCAACTTACATTACAACAGTAACTGCTTTTCGTCTTACTATTACCCAACGGACGTTTCTGGCATGGTAGGACCTCTAGGGAACAGGTTTTCCAGCCAGTGTAGCTCGTTGGGTCATTGTGACATACAATTCATACCACTACGTCAAGGTATCAGCTTTCAGTTGGGTTTTGAGTCAGCACCATGCGTCTTTATTAATGGTTGTTGAGTATCTGTTTATGCTGATGCCATTCAAGTTCATGATCTTACTAAATGGTTCTCATTCTTTGCGTAACCTGCGTATTTAACTTCAAAAACATAATTTAGACGTAACGGCGTCAACGATAGTTCTGTGATTTTCTCTACTAACTAGCTTTTATATTTTTTGCACAACACAAATAATACATTACTCATACCAAAAGTCAAAGTTCTAGTAATATTTGTATTTCAATCATAGTAATACATTTTTGGAGATTTTGAAGTTAATTTTAGTAGCATTTTCGCCCTGGAGTGGTTTTTATCAGTATTATATGTGAGACCACTCACTGATCTCTTTTAGGAGACTAAAGGAACCATTATCATTTTGTGCGATGGGCTTTGTTCACCAAAGTTAAGTATCGCCTGACTTATAGTTGCCATCCGTCTTTAAAGTTCCTGACTGTAAATCTAAATCACCTGGAGAAGCAAAGGATTCCTGGTTGAAGTATTTGAGACAACCGAAGCTGATAGGTTGGGACCTCAGGTTATACTACAAATTGATAGTCTCAGCGGTAAAAGTGCATTCATTTAAATCGTAAAAGTTTTACTGTCATTCATCTTTGCTTACATTTTATTATTTGAATTAAGTCGGCTTCAACTGATGTACACTTATTCCAGATCCTGTACTGTTTGTCTTTGTCGTTCGGATTATGCACCTTTTTGAAAAGCCACAAGACATAAGATGAACTTATTTGTATGGTAAACTGGTTTGTAAATTATTCACGAGGTTTCACAGTCGAATTGAAAGCAACAAATCAATGATTAGTTTACCAGACGAATAACTATGGAGCCGTGACCTGTTAGTTTAGGCAGTTTATTTTTAACCAGCGAGTCTCAGGTTCGAACATCCCCCACCTATCGAGGTTTGGGCAGCCAAGTATTATCATCAGCCCTCACACAATAGATGTGGCCCATTGTCTGCTGCTCAATGCCTTTCGATTTCGAAATGATTAGTTAACAGCAGCCAATATATAATTTATAAAAATCTAAAACAGGATAGATGTTAGTTCTTAACATAAAAAACTGTGGAAGTCAGCTGTAGCTCCCTAAGTTTATCTGTTTCATAATTGATGGACAAAAGCTGTGAAGACAAGCAATGCCTCAACGTACCTAAAGTAATTTATGGAGTATTTGGTCCACGACTGAATTATCGTGTCTAAGAAATTCTAGAAGTTACATGAGTTTTAGTTTGCCCTATTCGTATCTTGGTGCAATATCAGAATCCGAAATACAAGCAGATCACATCGTCGTCATTTACTGATTTTACTTTAACCAAAAGTATAACTTTTGTACCTGATCAGGACACGTTTTACCTGTCTATATGGCTACAGAGGTTTGTCGTGCATTTGCAGTCGTGTCCTGAGATTTGCGTACTTTATTCTTTCCAGAGGAAGATGCGTTCACACCTCTTCTTAGTCAAGATCGCCTCACATTTGTTTATTTCCGTTACCTCATTTTCTTCGTCTTGTGGGGTTTTGATCTGTTTATAGTTGTTTTCATTCCCATTTCTCCCTGTTAATTCCTACTCTGATATGCCGATACGAAATGCAGTGTGGACAGTCACTTTACTAATATTTGTCTTTAGATAGGTATGCTTTGAAACGGTTTAATATGGTACTGACTTTTATAACATGGATTTTCATGATAAATGGTAGTTCCAGTGTTCATTAATTGCGTAAAGGAGATCGACAGCCATGTGTATTTGCAACCTCTTGAGAACTGATGTACCCTGTAAGATTTGAACCGGGATCACATAGCGTTGCCGTCAGCGACGTTATCACTGAGTTACTCGGGCTGCGATTGACCTGTGAGAGTATATTAGATAAACTGGTTAGTCACCGTAGAGCAACTAATTGCATTTTGTTTAATCCCGAGCGCCAACCGAGTTCTGTTGATCTAATGCTCATAAGTAAAAATTCTTTTGGATTGTAGTATTACGGGAATAAAGCTTCTGATTGTTTACTATAGGTTTTGGACTTCCTTTTTCCGAATGAAGGCGATTTGGTGTAACTCCGTAGGTACACTGTTTTATATCTCAAATATAAGTTGCACTTTAAATGCTGTGATGTTAGTAGATCACCCAAAAATGATATGCTGTAATTGAAGATCGAGATATATCTTGGCTCTACTGTTATGTGTACATTAGTTTTTGTGAATATCAACCACGTAAAACCAGTTAGTGTACGTGCAGTGTGCTTGTACCATCTATTCCAGTTAAACTTAAAAGGTTAAAGAAATTTCGCAGACATAAAGTAACTTATTTCACCATCAGTACAGCATTTTCTTGTATCTATCTTGGCTTTCGGCTTGTGATCTACATAGTAAAATAACCCTAGAAATATTTTTAATCCTTAGATTTTTTTTGTAGGTTGCCTTTGTGCATTAAAATGTATACGGCATGTTAAATGAGATAGACATACTGAATACCTTACCAAAGGGTGTAAACGACTTCTCACCTCAAGTTAATGACAGCTTTTGCACCGAAAGGACATCAAACTCCTCATCACCACTGAGTTTTGGTCTGAACCAACCTCATCGCCCGTTTTCCCACCCATCGCGCCTATGTGATAAAGATTTCAACTCTCCATACCGCCCTGAAGATTGTGGAGACTCAGCTGTGGTTAGCTACACTAGACCTTCCAGTACACCAGCATCAAATAAGTCTGTTAGACATTCTTCGAGAAGACTTGTTACATTTTTTCCATTACCTGAAGCATCTCAGGCTTCAAGTCATTTTTATGACAATAATCCTACTGTTAAGAAAGATGAATCACCTCAAGCTGATAGTGCTACTCTTACAGCATTCAATTTATTTAAAGAAGATTCATCTTTGGATCCTGCTGCAGATGACCTAAGGGAAAACTCAAGTCCTCATAAAGAAGGTTACGACGATTCTCTACTTATTTCAAAAAAAATACCATCCACCATAAAAGGTAATGAAGCGTGTGACAACGAAATTTTTCCGAACTTCGATGTGTGTCAGTCATGGGATAAAATTAACACAGTAAGAGCTGGATTAAAGCGTCCACATTCTGCTACCCTTTGTCGTGCTCCCCCTTCTGAAGGTGAAGATCCTTTAATGCGTCCTCTATCAGCGCCAAAGCGTCTAATCGAAGATGTGAATATATCTTCAAATCTAAGTGGTATCCTAGCTTCTGATGATGTTACTCCAGTTGCATCTGTCAAATTCAGAGATATCAATGCTGATGCTCCTAAATCAACTCTTGAAGCATTGGTGGCTTCAACTTCTCCATTGATGTTCTTCCCTCATGAATTTTCCATGGATTCTGATTGTGATGATAAATATGTAGAGTTTGCGCCTCAGGTTTCACACAACTTGATAAATCAAAACCTTTTGAGTGATTTATCCTATTCAATTGATTTAACATCACCAAATACTGACTTTTCTGTTAAGGGGGAAAATGATTTAAATGCTATTAATACAAATTCAGTATCTTCATCGAAGTCTATGACATCATTAGATCTTAATGATCCTAATTTTAAATGTCCTGATTCACATGGCAGTCAGAAATCTGTGTACAGTGATTTAGGTTTAATAACTGATGTCTTAGAGAATAATAATGCATCAGCAACAACACATATTAACGAATACGTTCAAGCAATGAGAACATATGCTGCCGAGTTATGTCCTGTGGATTGTGTCATTTTGCTTGAACACTGTCGACCTTTCAACTGTGATAGCCTTTACATGAAGTATTTTCGTGATCAATATCTTTGTCCAATCTTAAGGTAAGCAATGAAAATATTTTTGAAAAATATATCATGTGTAAAAGTTTGATAAAGTGTAGTAGTTCATTTACTTCTGTTTACTTTAGCCAGTGTCGCAGGTTAAAACAGCACTCCACGTACTTGAACTAAAGCCTTCATACAGTAAGTGTGAATCATAGCATAATACATCTGTATTGGGTGGCTGGGCAGCATTATTGATCTCATTATTGCTGCAGAACAGTAACTGATTAGTGTTCATTAAAATTCTGTCTTACAGATGTATCAAAACGGTTAGTTGTTTTGCTGAATCTTGCAACTAAGGGGATGGTCTAAGCTTTCTCACTTTCAGGAATAATTCCAAGATTTATTTCGTCTGTGCTGAAAGAAGGTTCAATGAAAACGCAGAGAATAAACCTGAACCTTCAGTCTCTTATGTAATCAAGTTTACTCATTACAAACGAGTGTTCGACTTTTAGTGGTCCCATAAGTTTACATGGTTGCACCCGTTTTGAAAATAACATCTTTTTTCTAACGAAACTTTAACTAACATCCTATTAGCCATCCACTTCAAGATTCATGCCAAAAAATAACTTTTTGGATAAACCTTTTCAAGCTTCAACTCCTTGATTTGTGTACTTAACTTCCAGCCATTGGTTTAAACCTCACCTCATCTACAGTGGTTTCGGTAACCAGGTGGCATCACCAACCCTCACGTAATAGATGCACCTTATTACCAAGTGCACAAACTTTCGTGTGATTCCTAAAGTAGATTACAAACCTTGTCAGAAGTCTGGGTGAATTCACACTGATAACATAGAATTGTGATCAGCTACAGACTGTAGTTATCTGTGAATACCTTAACTTTTTAGTAACATAGGTATAATTATCAAGAAACTTAAGAATTTAGGTCAATATACTGACTGATATTTTGACAGAAGTCAGATAAGCAAAGATCTACTGCAAGCGTCAAGATTTATGGATTAGATTTGTATTGACCTTAGAGTAGTAGTTGGCTGTCCAAACGAGTAGTGAAAGTGTGATATAAATTTGAATTGTTCACGTTACGAAACGGTTTTGGTCTTTGGTAACCTACAACAATCAGCATACCATCAGTTGCATGTCTTCTGTTCGAAAGACTGATAGGTAGTTCATAACTCTTTCCAGTGTCTTTATTTTAACGTGGAAGTAGTTGACACAGGTGCGTACGTTTGGATATGTAAGCATATTTTCCAACCGTTCTGTTTAAATCTTCTTAGTGTTATCGTATGGATATCTAAGTATGAGGGCTGAACAAATATAGATTCACCCATGAATTGCTACGATTAAATTTTCCTTTAATCATTTTATCACTTACAGTTAGTTTTTGCAACATTTAAAAATATGTTTGACAATGTAAATTATCATTTGACTATCTGAGATAGCCGTAGTTTAGCAGACTAGTATTTATACTGGGTGGTGATTGAAAATTTGGACCTTGGCCGGAAGCTCGGTGATCTCTGGTTCGAATCCGGTCATGGTCCAAATTTTCATTTCACCTCCAATCACCACCCAGTATAAATAATGTAAATGAAACCATTTCTATACAGCGCCAAATTCCTCGACCTGGTTTAGCATGTGGGCCTCGATAGTACCTGATATTCTCGATATTCATTTTTATGGCTAACAGTGGAATTCAGGACGTCCGTTTCGTCCTATTTGGGACTCATCAGCTGGATGTACCTGCACTCCAGTAAGTGATGTTGTTCCCACTGAGACTTGAACCTAGTATTCATCGCTTTAAACGTCAAAGTATTATCCATTAGGCCACTGGGGCATGATAGCCACCTCTTGTTATTTGATACTTGTAGTTTCCCGTTGCTATACAGGACCGAATTGCTCGACCTCTGCATCAGGAAACAATTGATACCCGTTGCACAAATGGCTATCGTATCCCGGTGGTCTGATGTATATTGCTTTGGCATTTGACGCGATGAGTACTTGGTTCGAGTCTGAGTAAGGACAACACTCACTGGAGTGTAGGTGCGTCCATCTAATGAGTCCCAAATAAGACGAAACGCGCGTCCTGGATTCCACCGTTAGTCATTAAAATAAATATAACGTAAATGAAACCAGTATTGAAGGGAAGAAATTAGTTCATCTAATTTTGAGTTGAAGGTACTAGTAGTACTATGTTTTATGTTTTATCTTCAAATAATTATTATAGTCATGAAAGTTAACACTTCTGTTTATAATTTACCCAGTTTTTTGTTGAATTTCAGCAACTTAAATGGCGGTCCCCCGCTAAACGCAGATTTCGGAAGAGATGTAAGTTCTGTTCAACTTAATATTGATTATCTGTTTGTTAGTTAAGTAATTATTGCCTCACTTTGTTAGCATTTGATTGGAAATATGTAGAGAAATATTGCATAGAGAATATGTACACACTGGCTTCATGGTTCTTCATTGTTTTTATTGAAGTAATTTGTTATGTTGTTTTTTTTTAAATGTACATGTTTAGACGGCAAATACCACATGTGTAGTTCTTTTTTCAATTAAAAAAATTACTGTTTATTCATCTCTATTTTATTCGGAAGAAGACTGTTATTAAAGACTTGGGGAAAATTTGTGTGGAGTTTTTTAAATACGGGAAACGAAAGACAGGTTAAAAAGCCAACTATTAGGAACATAAGCAACACTATTTTGGAAATGTATTCCCTGTCTTTAGCTGCGTATTCTTAGTCGGACTGTTGTGGTTTTAGTTTTTCTTTAAATTCCACTTTCGGTTGCGCTTTTCTAAAAGCTGATTACTTAACCTCTCGATTTCGTTTTGTGCTTACCACCTACGCCTGCTTTGAATTCCTTTTGTACAAACGCATCATGCATAGTTGCTTTATATATATATATATATATATATATATATATATATATATATATATATATATATATATATATATATATAGGACAGAAACATTATTTACAATGGTATGTTAGCTAACGGTTTCAACTTGATTTAAATCACTAAAACAATCTATACACAATCTTAATTCAGTTATAAAGTGTGGGTCACACCAAAGCAATATGATAGTATTTCCCCATAATTTGTCCATAATTTCATAACGAAAAATAATAGCTAACATAGGTATTTTATGTTTTGGCCTTAAGCCATACTGATTGACTGACTGACCAGGATTCACTTATTTGAACGGGTTATATTATTGAGAGATTTGTATTAATATCAGTTTGTCCGATCTGATTTCATATTAAGTTTATTCCCTGTGTTTTCTTTTCCTACTGTTTCATTTCTGCTGTTGACATTCCTTCGCTATTTTGTGTTGAACAGATGTAGTGATGTGTGGCATCGCGTTCTGCACCACTGGTCAGTCATTGATTTGTCGAAATAAACTTCATTCATCGTTTCTATATCCCCTGTTAGTTTATCACTGATACTTACCAGAGAGATACATCGTACCATAGACATCAGCAGATGATATACCGCACAAAAATTCCGACAATCATATAAAGTTGCGACGATAAGGGGGATATAACAGTGGTGATAATCAAAATAATGCAGTAAAAATAATACAGTTCATCATTTGTTAGACAATATGTGGTTCGCACTGTGTAAAGTTTGATACTAGTTAGTTAGCAAGAGATTAGCAGATGGAGTAGAAATTAGCTCCAGTTGAGTAGTGTAAAAGTTAGGGATAGACTATGTTGGGAAGGGGGTAAATCATGCTGTTCATTTGTGAACGTCTGTCGCTAAACATGGTTGGAACATACACCATGCATGCCTGCCCATCGTCAACCGCTATGCAAGTACTAGTTAGGGTAAGATAACGTTGGAAAGAGCTAAGTGTAACCAGATCAATCCTTGAAGTCTGATTACTAACGTGAACTGTTTGGGCAACTATAATCCTCCTGGTTGCTATCAGGAAAACAATAGAAATCAGTTAGAAAACGACCGAGAACTGCTGTTACTGACACAGATACATCTATCCCTTATCATTTTGAGCATTTTATTCATCGTCACTCTATATTTGCTTCCCAGTTGTATGTTGTTAATTAATTCATTTCCTGACTTCTATGTCTATGTTTGTTCTGATTCAAAGAACAAGGAATTGGATTGTTATCCATATCTATGCTAAATTGTGTATTGCATGAAAGTGACTGACCAGTGGAGTCAGTTACTTATTAGTGGATTCTCGATCTCTGCATTGTTTGTTCACTTCTAAATTGTGTTTTAGTGGTCTTTATCTGGGTATTATCACTTAGTTTTTAAAGCATCGATGAAAAAACTAGTGATTACACTCCTTAATCATTCGGTACAGGAGTTAAACAAAGTTGTTTAAATTCTTATTAATTCACATGTCCACTGGAAATGTATTAAATAACCAGCAAGTCATATCTGAAATAACTGAGTTGTTATTTGTCTACAATTTTGATTCATTCTGTATTTAAGCTCCTAACTGATCGCAGGTGAGTGGAAACGAATGCCAAAAGTAGGACCATGTTTTCATTGCTGGCGTCTCCAAAAAAATGTGAATGAAACTCAGTCTGAGGAAACTTGAGTGCTGATCAAGTTGTGAGGGCGGTTGACACTTCCCGGCTGCCCACACCTGAAAGAGATTTGTGTGACTGCAGAGCCCATTGAACATCTGCTTGAGGCCTGTCACACGTAGCCTTTTGAGTGTGATTATTGTGAACGTTTGTATTTTTGGGGCCGGGCGGTCGAAAGGAAACGACAAATTAACCAAGACCGCCGGCCCGGCAGACCGTGTGGCATGGTGGAGTGTGTTATTTTTGGGGCCGACCTTTTCTAACCCCTCCCCCTTCCACTGAGAAGGCAGCATCAGCATGGCACTGCTGGTCATCCAAGGGAAACACCTTACTGCTGTCACACCCCATCCAGCAGCAGTACGACTTCACCCTCAGACCCCCATCATAGTGTAGCAAATTAAACCACAACGGTAACTGCTTTTCATCTAACCACTATCCAACAGACCTTTCTGGTATGGTAGGACCTCGAGGGTACAAGTGTTCCACCAGCATAGCTCGTTGGGTTATTGTGATATGCAGGCCCGACCACCAAGTCAAGGTAGCAGCTATCGGTCGGGTGAATGAAACTGCCACCATCACAATACACTATTTTATCTACCCTGGTCAAATGCATTTTATTCGTTTGTCTATATATCTTGGTTGGCATAGACAGTCAGTGAACGTAGGTAACATTGTACAACTCTTTACAATAACGTGTTCCTCCAGGTTATCACACGTTATAACTAAGACATAAAAGTAGAAATTAACAGAAAAACAACCATTACATTATTTAGTTACTGTTTGGTTTCTACTTTTTCTTTAAAAAAAAATAATATAGGTCAGGTTGTTTCCTAATATTAGTTCTTTCATTTCATTAAAAATGATTGTCATGAATACATTTAATCAGTTGTTGTTGTTGTTGGGTGAGTAGCTTGAATTATAATTATGAAGAGTACACTGGAGAAATTTTATAACCTATAGAACTGATACTTGTGAATTTTTGTATTAAAAATTTGCTGGAGTGAATTGGTAAGATGAGTCAACCACTATTACTATCTGAGTCAGCCTATTTTTAGATGTGATGTATACTTCAGAAGTATGGAAGGTACATGTTGTATGTCTAAAGATATTTTTTTCATTTTCCTGTCTGTTTTATGGCGTCTTTTTGTAGATTTTGATAATAGATAATTACTTTCTACTTCCAGGCATATACATCTCTTTATTCGCTTCATGGTTATTGTTGGCGTAAGCCAATACAGACGACTACCTTAGTACCAGACACGCCTATAATTTACAAGATTCTCAAAAGAGTTGCAACTATGCAACATGAATCACGTCATGCCAATGACCAGTTAAATCCTTCTGAAGGTACACCAGGTGATGAGTTGTTAGAAGCAGCAATCAGAGAATTTGACGCTATCGATCGAGCAAGACGTGGTTTATGCAAGAAAGTACAAAGGCATCTAATCCTTCTAGCAATGTCTCCAGTTGATATCAGTAAAATCAAGCAGTCAACTTCATCTTGTGCGTTATTTGAAGAAGAAAGTCCTAAAGTGAATTCTGTGGAACAACCTCTTAACAATTTGAGGATGAGAGGAGTTGCTTTAAGCGTTTTTTCACCTGTTCAAAGTCCAAATCTTTTAAAACTTTATGAACTTGTTAATGGTACTCCAGCTTCTCCTTTCTACGATCGACGTTGGCAAACAGTTGCTTTATCAGGTAGGTTTACCTTCATGTTTTCAGTTTAGCGGTTAGTGGGGAGTTAGTTAGTTCGAAAGTAGGTTTCATCACAAACTTCTGTAAACTAGGAAGCCATCATAAACTGAGGAGCATCGGACAGTTGTTTCACCATATACGATGCAGTGCATACTCGAATAACTACATTTATAATATTTCCGAAGTTAGTTGAACCTGACGGAATAATTTTATGTGATTTATAATTGTTGTCAAAATTAAATATTACCCACATCAGCAGCATTGATAAAAATAGCATCTGAACTTTTGTAAAAACGCATGTGAAAAGATAGTTTGTGTGCACTCAATTTGTTCACTCAACTACTTTTTGAAATTAAAGAAGACTGGGTAGTCGACGATTCAATTTATACCTTTCAGTGTTTTCATCTGTCAGTATCACTGATTGATGGATTAACCCCCCAGTTCACTACTTTAGCAAGATTATGAAAAGTGAATAAAGAAATGCAGTGTAAACAGAATCAGAAAACTAATTTAATCATTTATTTCTAATAGTCTAACTAATTAAGAAATAATGAGTGGTTATTTCACAGCATCTGTTGTTGTATGTCGTATCAGTTTCTCAGTTATGCTGTCCAGCATCCTAACCTCTCTAGCTGAGCCTTACACGCCACTCTAACCAGTCCCACAACCCATTTTCTGTTTTACTGTATTACTTAAGTGAGAGACTCCCTGTAATGTTAGCGTCGGGAATACTACCTTTCCATAGTTAAAGTATTTTGATTTCTCTTTATCCTCTATTAATTGAAGACATTTCGAATGGCTGGAAAGTTGCTGACCGGTTATCATTTTTACCATCGACTAACAAGATGGATTAGCTTGTAAAAACACCCGTTTTAGCTCTTTTGAATTAAATTGAACATTTAGAATAAATGTACTGTTAAGTGGAACAGTTGCGCTCACTCAATACAGAATACTTGGTTCAACTCTTATTTAACTTAGGTCACAGTGCGGCTGTTGACTTTCAGGTAATATGTTTCACATCGAGTACACGGATTTGTTAATGTGTAATCATTCATTCAAGTGCTAAATTCAGACTGGTTGATGAAGATGTTATCGTTGATGAGTTTTGGAGGATGGTTTTCATCAATTTTGAGAGTTAGTAACCATGTAAAATAACTCACCATTACTGTAAGGTGATGAATATTTTTAGATCAGGATACAGACGATAATAGTTTGATGTTTTGCAAGCATATAAAGAAGTTAGTGTTAATGGTGTCACTAAGCTTGGTGCTGAAACGACCATGCTTACTCCTGGAAGGACAGGTATCGAGAGAATTTGTGACATTGTAAACATGATATATAAATACTTGTTTTTACATCAAGAGCATTCTTAATTTAGACTATTATAGTCTTGATTCCATCCCTAACAGTTTCTGTGAAATGAGATTCTAAGTATTAGAAAATCACTGATATTCTGTTTCTTCGTACCTATGTATGTTTTGTAGTTTTTGTAGTATCAAGTCATTGTTTAGTGTACATGCTCGAATTTACTCGTCTCATCGAATCCAATAGTTAATGTTATGCTTTCTATTGCTAAAATTAGATAAATTACTGCAGTCGGATATACCAGAGAGACGTATTGTTGGTCCATTAGCTGCAGCTTTCCATGCTCAAACTGAGGCTGAACTATCTGCTCTTGAACACAAACAACTATCCAAACAGACTATTACAAATGGACATTCTAATCGTATGCTTGAAAATTCTCATCTACCACTCACTAATACACAGACAATTAATCACAGTCCGGATAACCGTTGTGCTGTTATAAGTAATAACAGATATTCAATTCAGGAGCAACACTTACAGCAGTCCACCTACTCTATCGACTCAACCGCTTATCCTGCTATCTCGAATTCATCATTAGTTGTAGCTACGGATGGCTCTTGTCGTAACATTCCTGGCACTGGTGCAAATAATTCTTCACAGTACACAAATGGTGGTTTGTCACCTATGGCAGGTCCTCAGGTATTCACTTATTGCATTTTCCTTTATTTCGTTAACCTGTCATCATTGTAATCGCCGCCACTTCAGAATTACTTTATCTCATACATTTTTTATGACAGGTTAATTTTCAAAGTCAAGTCTAGCACTCTCGGATGAACTAACATTGCTTTCTAAGTCAAATAATCGACGAATGTAGATGCACCATTAAGTATGTAATACTTTCTTTTGTAGTGATATACATGTCATCTACCTAGCCTCTACTGCTTACTGGTTTGTGATGTTGAGTCTAGATTTTGTTTCTGAGGCAACAGCTACACCCCTATGTGTAACATGACTCTATTGGTCATACACTTAGTCTGAATGCGTAAATATGCTACCTAATCGGATAAACTGATCAACCTCATTCCAGAAGACAAGCCAACTACTATTGATTATTGAGTGTTATCGATGGCCTGCATAGTCAGACTGACACATTCTGCTTGTAATCATTTAAAAAAACGGAATACATGGTTCTTTGTAAGTGTTGTAGTCGACGTATTTAACACATCAGAAGGGATCTATTCAGACCTGTTCATGTAATATGCCTGAACATTTATCATTTATAACTGACCAACAATTTAATATCTCCTTGGATATGACAACAAACAAGCTGATGATAAATTTGTTGGGACATACTGCTCTCAACAGATGTTAATTGATTCAAAGAAAACGTCTAAAACACTTAAGGTGGCTTCGAATGTATTTTCATTACAAAGAAATAATTGCTTCGTGCCATATTATTCTGAACAGTTTCTATGCCATTTTTCTTAACATTTACAAAGGGTGTAGTTGCTTTCAACTTGAGGTATAAAATATAACGATATGATATTTATCATATGATGTACGGAAGTGAATAGCGATCGTTATCAGTACGACATAATTGAGTATTTAAAATGTCATCACTATGTTAATGCATACCTACCATCGTTGAACAACTAGTTACATCAGCTAGGTTTTTAACAATATTCGTGAAAATTTGTCTGAATCTTAATCACGAGAGATTACATTGGTGCAAGGTTAAGAACTGGAAAAAAAATTACTAGAGACTGTAGAGTTAACGATCAAGAATGTGTTTGCACCTACATGCCTAAGACTGTTTATTGAAAATATCCTTGATGTTTTTTCGTGACCAAACTGGAAACCCTCAAAATCTAGTAGAAACTTGTAACTAACTATCAAGTCACTAGATCAGGTTGATTGATTGACATTTTTCCACTTCATTTAACAACGGTGGTTAAATTGTTTGCTTCAGAAAGTGATTAGCACTCAAAAACTTTCCAGCTCTTTGTAGTTACGTTTAACAATGCTTTCACGAAAATTTTCTTGAAGAGTTACTATGCCTTGCATGTAACGGTTATCCATTGGGTATTTCTTATATTTTAATACACACAAGACATTACTCGTCGGTATAATCATTTAATCATACCTTTTGACTTCCTACATGTTCATTAAAGTTTCTTACTAAAATCAAGAGATAAATGTTTGTAATATCTTACGATCTTTTGTCGTGGTGAGCCAATTTATTTGTTCCACTTCTGTCATGTAATACTATACTTAGGGTGGTGTTGTAGGTGATTTGAGCATAAAGAAATATATTGTTATTTTAAAATACTTGTAGACTATCACCTTTTTGTTTACACTGACATTGTGGGTGAAATTATTCTGAAAGAAAAGTGAGATAAGGGCGTAGTCTACATAATGTTTGTTTTGTACTTCGTCATTCTAATGAATTAACAGTTTAATAAAAGTAAGCCATTCAGTACAGGTTCATCTACCAAACTGTAAGTGATCGTTTTGGAAGCCTTGTGATAAAACATAGTTTGGACCTGAAACTCACTAAATGAAAGGTATATACACAGGCAATCATTCAAAGTGATTAAAAAAACCCAACAGAACTTCATTGACTCGAATTTTCACTGATCACAAAGTCTATGGGAAGGGAAGAAAGTGTTTCTACGACGACCGGAGGAGATTACTAAGCAAGAGAGAGTACCAAGCAAGTATATAACGCTAATCAAAGCTCTCTACTGAAACTCACGCAGCGGTGTTGCGACTTATGGAGAGTTATCGTATGAGTTGACGACAACTAGTGGTGTGTGGCAGGGATGTCCGCTGTTACCGTTCCTACTTAACTTCATTGTAAACGTACTAATGGATATAACCTCAGGTATTTCTGACTTCACAAGGATTGAAGCCATTTGGTTGAGTTGAAGTATGCAGAGGATATTGTCCTGCTAGGTGAAGACACTGGCAAAATGCAGAGTCTTGTGAATGTATGCGTTAAGCAGGAGTGTATGTGTGGCTGGATTGTATTTTGCACCTGCCAAATATAAGATGATACTTCAGGATTGGTTTGTAACTACTCCTAGTTTGTTGATAGGTGGTTAAGTGATTGAATGTGTTGACCACATAACTTACCTGAGGAGTGACAGCTCAGACGGGGTGATCACTGATGAAATTTCTCTTGGGATACCGAAGACCTGTTTAGTATTCGCCAGCTTGCGTCATCTGTGGCACCAACTGATGAGATATTCAACTACCTGTTAAAGGACGAGTATACTGCGCTGCAGTCCTTTCTGCCTTGTCATACGAATGAGACTTGGCCGTTGAATGTAGAAGACATGAAGCGGTTACAGTGTTTCGGTCGCACGTGTCTTCGTAGCACTCATGGCGTTTGGTGGAATCACCATGTGAGCAATGTTGTGGTCAGGCGAAGGATACTAGGCCAAATAGGCAAGTAGATTGATGAGATTGTCAACCTTTTCAGCTGAGGCGGTTTGATAGTGTGTTGTGCATGTCGATCCACCACCTACCTCGACGTGCCATGCTAGAGGAAATTTGATTAGGTTGAAAGAAGATTCATAATGGAGAGAGCAAGACATGGTAGCAGTCGACTAAGTTCCTGATTATTAGTGTGAGCTATATTGGGAGATGTAGAGTGTTGACTGACCGGTGTCCCATAAACGATAGGAATGAGTGGTTGAGGATTTTTGTTGACGTGGTTGTAAATCGGTCACAATGATACATATGTATTCACTGTTTGACGTTTTGTAAAGCTTGAGTATTCGTAATGACCCTTATCTTCGAGTTGTTTATTCTGTTTCCCAATTTGTCTACTTTGATGTCTCTTTTATTCTATCCGTTTTTTCTTTGAATACTACTGTGAAGTGTGGCAAGTTGGACCGAGGTTCTACATTGATTCTGTCTGTCATCACAAAGTTGCACAAAAGCAAAAAAGGGTACTGAATTGGAAAAATGTATATTTTTCAACAGGGAAAATGTATTCTAATGGCCTTGTAATCTACCAGAAGACATACAGAAGTAAGGGAAAAGCAGAACTGCTTAGAAAAAAGGAAACAATCTTAGAAGGCGCATTTATAAAGCTTTCAATTCTTTTGGGCTACTGTTTGAAAGTAGACCACATAATAGAATGATAATATGTTTTTCACTTGTTTCAATCCGTATTCACATCTGATGAGGTCTGGATTTATTCACTTAATCTGTGCAACGTCATCTGCGGTGTTGTGCTTGCTTCAGCAGAATATGATCGAATTCAACCATCCTTCATCCTATGATATCGGATTATAAACTAGTTCTCTACTTCTTCGATCTACTTCCTTATGAACACTCCAACTCTTTGTGCGAAATTCAACCTCTCCTAAGGAAAAGTGTAAATGCACTGTTAATCAACCGGTATATATTCACTTCATTGAATAAAAAAAAGCCTTGAGAAAATGCCTATCAAACAAACAGATCAATGTTGGACTTTGCTCAGGAAGTGCATCCATGATTGCTGTAGTTGTCATCACATGTTAGACTTTGACACAGAATAATTATGACATCGATGCTTAAATTTATTTTAGTTATTAAAATTACAGGTCAAGTATAAGATAAGAGCAAAAACTTTGAGAGGATCATGTACATTTGTCTTTAATTTCGACGACTAATGTCATATAGCGTGTACTGTACAGTAGTTACACAATATATTGATTAAACCAGTACTAGAATATAAAACAGGAAGTAAAGCAATGTGCTTTAATTCAAGGTTAGCATAATCATAGCATTAATAATAAACTATCATATCTCATTCATAAAGAATATCATGGTTATTTCATCTGGACAATTGGTGTTGACAATAACAAAGAAGAAGTCGAAACACCAAAGTTTGTTCGAATAAAATTTATTGTTTTCAACTTCATTATGCCTAATTTAATGTTTCTGAAAATGGGCAATTTATGAAAGTTGTTAAAGTTGAATAGATTAAACAGTTGAATAAATGGATAATAAATAAAATTTATTTTCTACCTCATTTAGATTTAACGAATATCTTTCATTTAGAAAGTTGTTAAATTATAGATTAGATCACTTGAAATAGCGTTAATTGTTGGATGGATGTTGATGTATGGAAATAATAAATGATATTGAGAGATCATGTTAGTATTCATACTAGTGACCTGAAGGTTATTGGGTCGATGTCTTAACGATCGAGCTACGAAACTTTGTCTCAAAATGAGTTTGAATCTTCTTTGAGTCATTGAGTATATCTAGTTTAGCTCTTTAGTATACTTTTACAGTAAATATTAAACTTTTAATCATCTGTATTTGTTTAAAAGATACTTCAAGAGTTTGAATTTACATTGATCTTATCTATTTTTTGCTTTGTGTTTATTTTCTTGAACGCTTTGTCGAGGTGTGTGTTATGTGAGTATGCTTGTGTTTTTCTTTAAGTGATAAACATTACTGGAAAATTCTTATAGTCTTGATCATGGATCAACATCAACTGAAAAAAACACATTGATAATCTTGTAGCAATAGATAAGTTTTTCATCATAATTTGGGACTAATCAGCAGCATTAAAGTGTAAATCTATGATAAAAACTACTTTCATATCAGTCAATCAACGAATTCCCATAAAATCCCTGATGAAAGTTTTTGAACTAAGTACGTCAAAGTTGTAAAGGGGATTCATTTGGATTGAAAATATTTACGTTTCTTAATCTAAAGACAGAATAGATAAATTTACTGAATAAGCATTTAAGGTGTCTACAGTTAAAATCAATAAGTCACCAGTGAGTAACATCTGAAGTCACTAACCGTATTACTTGATTGTTGTTATGCCTCTTATTTCGCATTTGTACTTGGGTTATTATTATGTTAATATTCGTCATAAATTATGTATTACATTTGTTTTAATGTTTTGCTTGTTTTAGTCTGTTCTTGTGTAATGAACATCTATTTACTCTATTGTCATATTTTTTTCAGTTTTTCGCCAGTGCTTCACCTGTTGGATCATATCAACGTGCCTCACGTAATTCTGCTTCAACTGCACCTATCCAATATCCTCCATCAACCACTCTATCAGGTTACCCCGTTCGTGGTGTATGCGGACGTGTTGCTTCGGATAATGTACGATCTGTTGAGGTAAATACAGTGCTTAACTTACTATTTGTCTGCAATTTTGAGCTGATAACTGAACTATACTGCTTATATTTCTGTCTGTGATCTTATTTTGTGATGTCTGAAATTGAGGCAAGCGGAAGTTTCCCCAGTGATGTTGCGTTACGCAACATAATGGGTAGTATATTTATGGGTCGCCCTTCACGCATAGGTTTTATATATGCAGTCTATTTGTATTTTCTTGGCATGGTGGGTAATTTTTGTCAATAAGTTTGTAAACTCGTGCTAACTGCAGTGATTTAAGATGTGTGTTACACATACCAAGCTACCAGTCCTTATTACTGTATAATAATTGTATTGGGTGCACTTTGGAGCGGGTTTAAAAATGAACAATTAAAAGACAGAAGTAATCCATAGTGCCACTAATTTTTCTTAGTCAAACTACGAAGTTTAGGCTACTTTGCTGGAATGTTTGAGAAGTTTGGAATCAGTGTTTGAAGATACTCGATAACGTGACTCTAATCACATTATTATTATTATTTTCCCTTGGGTTCCTAGTGGAACGTAGGGCTTCAGTAGCACTCCTCCATTGCACTCTCTTCTCTGCAGTCTTTTGAAACTGGCTCCACGACTGCCTACAAGCTTTCATTTCTAATCCAATTACAGTGGTGCAAATGTATTCACCCTTTTTCAATTTCGAAACTTGAAGCACTATTAACCTTCATTTATTGGTTTATTTTCTTTCCTTTCATATCTCTTCTTGATCAGTCTACCATTATTCTATTTCCGTTTATTTCCCATTTGTATGCTGCTGTAAAGTGTAGTAACTTGAATTGGTGCACTTTTAGGCGAGGTTCTATGTTGATTTGTTTTGTCTAAAAAATATAGCTTAAAGCTGATCAAAACAAAGCAGTCATGTTCACTGTCTACTACCTAGAAATTCTGAACATCCTATTAACCCGCGTTTATGTCATCTCTCACACATCTCTTTTTTCTTGTCCATTATTTAATCTCTTCTTTGCTTTGATTAACTTTTCTACATATCTCCTTCCCTTTCATCCTCCATGTGCTGTTGCAAAGCATGGCAGTTGGATCTGAAATGCTTCTATGCTAAGTCCTGAGTTGTTTCTACCTGTTTACATTCGCTTGCGTACCATTATTACTTCTCTTAGCTTCCGTGATACATTTCTGTTACGGCACAAAGTGACTATATGTTGAATATTGCTCTTTGTGCTTAAGGTACTCAGTATTATCAGATTAGATAGAATCATTCACTGATGAACATATTTCTCATCAGATTATTGTACTTTGGAGTTCATAATTTTCTGTTAAGCTGCAGTGCTCATCATCGTTTATTTCATGTATCACACAATGAACCAGGTCATAAAAACTTAAAAACATGCTGTACTTAACACATGATATACATACTAGCATACTTTTTAGAAAATAATCACCATGTGTTATGTGTTTTTCTGATATTTGGATATGCATAAGTTTTATCTGAAGAAGTGCAGGAAGTTATATGTTATTGTCTTAGATATGGTAGGTAGATAAAATTTCTGTGAAGAGATACATATTTTGATGGGTATTTTAAATAGATATGGTATAGTCAGTCTGACTAGTGCAAACATTCAGAATTAACCTGATTTGTATTACTTACTGGGGTCTTAGAGATAATAAAGATCATTGGTTGGATACCCTTGGTGAAATGACTGAAAATCGGTCACATAGATGCGCATATAATCACTCTTTGACATGTTAAGAAGTTTGGAAACTTCCATCAGTTTCCATTTTTTGTTAAAGCTTTTGCCTACTTTACTAGCATTCTTCTTCTACACACTTATTCTTTACATACTGCTATGTAGTGTGCAATTTTGTATGAGGGTTCACCTCGGTTTTTTACTGACATCATCAGGGTTACTTGATTCAGTATAAGTGTAAGTAAGTATCGAATGTTAGATTGCTAACAATTTATGGTTCTGTATCCAATTATTCATTGTTTTACCCTCCTAGGTGTCTTCCTCCATGGAGTGTATTCTGTAGATAAAGTATTTTTCTTCTTGCTTATAAGAAATATGTGTATTGACTGATTCGAACATAGGTTCAGTTTTTCCAGATGTCAAGCTTTTTTCTTTTCCCATCAGTTGACGCAAAAATTACCACTCAAGTGTCTAAGCCGGGACTGATTTGATGTGGAACGTTTAAACAGTGTACACTGGACTTCCGCGACATATAGCTGCAACTATTTAAATGCTGCTACTATTTAAATGAAGATGAGGACAACAAGGAACATGTATATTTGCATCTATTTGTAGACTATTGAAAACTGTTGTTGTTCAAGGCGAAATTGTCTACATGTATTTACGAATTACAAAGAAATTTGTCATATATTTATTCTTTAGCATAACCACACTTATTTTGTCCTGGAGAATATCTGTAGTTAACTTTCATAGAGTGAAACAACAGAACAAGGTACAGACAATGCTTCTAGTACCTAATGTTCCATCTTTTTTAAAAGCATTTGAATAAACTCAACAACGGTATGGACGTCCGCACAATATGTAATGAGTTACACATATTATATCATGGTTAACGATACTAACTGACTGTCCATACCGCGGTAGATAGTCTAAACCAATAAACCACAGATGATACTATAATGAATAAGTCTTTATTTGTTGTGTGCATATGGTTGAAGGATTATCCATTCTCCTAACTAGTTAGTTGTGTATAGTTAGTTGGTTGAAGACAATCGACAGGAAGTCCTGGACCTAGGTTTCGTGCTTTTTGGTACTTGTTAGCCAGACGTATCTGCAACCTTAACAGAACTGATGTCCCGCCTGAGATTCGAACCCGCGTCACCCAGTGTTTGTAATCAGCGACTTTACCATTGAGCTTGTCGGGCCACGATTGACCTCTTATAGGACTGGCTTACATGTATTGATTGGTCACGAGAGGGCAACCAATTTCATGTTGTCTAGTCCTGAGTGCAGACCGAATCCTATCGATCATATTTGTATAGTTTTCATCTCCTCTGTATTGGTATAGAAATATTCCTGTTTCTGTTGTATGTACCCGGTTTTCAAAATTATACTTCAAAGGATTGGTTAATTAAACATGTTCATGTTTGTATGGAGTTGAAATTCATTCTTATTTATTTGCTTTTGTGTGTGTGTGTGTATACAAATGATAAAAATCAATTTCTGATTCGACCAATAATTTTATTGTCTTAGTGACGATGATGACCATTTTCATTATGATTATTGTTCTTACTGATGGCTTATAAGATTTAAAATATAAGAGTAAAATGGAAGATAAAAAATACATTGTGAATGGTTATATATGTATATGTATGAAATGAACAAACAGCACGTGGGTATGCATATAATATATATATATATATATATATATATATATATATATATATGTTAATACTAGTTTGATACCAGTATCACTTGTCATAAGGTATGCAACATATGATCAACTGATCAATAGGCGTAGAGATGCTTCATTGAGACACCGGTACAGTTGGTTATGATATATGTAGATTCGGTTAATACTTCCTTTTATCATTTTTACTTTCTGAGTGGTAATCGTTTGATGAGCACATAAACATGTACACAATCCTAGTGTTTAGCTTCCTTCACTACTATTTATGTTATATGCATCCAGAATATTAATATATGATATGTCTGTATAACTGTTTATTATTATGAATGAATAAGATATTGAAAAGTCTTGTTGACTTACAAACGAATTTATTCAATCATTCAAAGTTGATGACAATTAGTTTCAATAAACAAACATTAATAATTGTGACTGTTCTGCATGTTAAGTGGACTCTTCTATAGTTGTTAGATAACAGTGACTGAGAAGTGCAAATATCTTATCCAAAGATGTTAATCTAGTCTGTCATTTAATGCCTTATTTGATTTTCAGCGTACCAGTTCATCCCAGAAATATCAAGATATTGTTTATTCAATAAGGTAGATGAAGATTTCCTCCCATTTGACTTATTATACTGCAAAATGAAGGGAAGATAACATCACTGTATGATTTTGCCATCATCTTCTTCTAAGCTATCTATCTGTCTTACTGGTGTTAGAAGGTCGTAGATATCAGTAATAAAGAACAAGATATTCACCGAAGAGACTCTTTTCAATAAACTAATTTTTAAGCTGTGTATATATGGTATTTCAAAAATTATAGCCCGTGAAGAAATCTAAACACTATATGATGATGACAATAATAATACGGATGATGATATAGGTATTCGTGATTATGATAACAATTGAAGTATGAATGATAACAAGGTGGACTACATAACATATAGAACGGTTCATAAAAGGTATATAGCTCAGAAGGGGATGAAAAATTGATGAAAATGGTAAATCAATTGAGTATTATGTAATAGGATTAGACAAGTTGGTCAAGATGAAATCAACATTTTCTAAAAAGATAAAATTGATAAAATGACTATTATTCTTAATGACCACACAAAGTTCCAAAGACTTGGTGACTCTCCAGACTTAAATGGAAAAGCAGAAAAGGAGATACTAAACGCCCTCAAGAAACTAAAAGAAAGTTGGACAATTTTTGAGTCCACATACGACTCACTTAAATGTATATGGAGTAACACACCACGGTTATATGGTCTACCTAAAGTACACAAACTTGGACTGCCTCTTCATCCAGTTTTAGACATGTCCAACTCCCCATATCACTCAGTTGCTAAATGGCTAGTAAAGATTTGAGATCCCTTACACAAAGAATTAGCTAACCATAGTGTAAAAGATGTCTTCGAATTTATTTCCAAGCTAGATAGTGTGAATGTAAACGGAAAACATATGATGTCGCTTGATATCTCATCATTATTCACAAATGTGCCATTACTGGAGACGATAGAGTTTGTATGTCAACAAATATCGGAAAGGCATATCAATATCGGGATTCCCGCACACAACCTCAAAGACTTGCTTCTTAAATTTAGTATGAATGTACATTTTGTCTTCAGTAGCTCTCATTGTAGGTAGATTGATGGGATAGCTATGGGTTCACCACTCGATCCTATTTTAGCAGATATATTTCTTGCCAAACTGGAGAATGGGAGCATTGAAAGAGGTCATTAAGGAGATGATTATATATCACCGTTATATTGACGACACAATCATTATCCTGGATCAGAATGTGGATATAAACAAGGTGAGGAAAAAAACGCCAATAAACTACACTTCTTGGATGTCTTGCTAAGCAGAAGAGAAGCTGGTACACTCAACAGATGTGTTTACAGGAAGACCACATCTATAAGTCAGTATACATATTTTCTAAGTCATGTAACAATTCGGTACAGAGTAAACCTGGTTAAATGCCTCACTAACAGCGTGAAAAATATGTTCGTATGATCTGGTACAGAAGGAGTTGGATTATATCCCTATTTCATTGGTTGAAATGGGCTACCCTAACAGTTTTATAAAAAGACAAATGGACAAAGCCAGGGGGAACAAACTTGGTATTATTACCATACCATAGAAAGAAACCTTTGTTTATGAAATTGCGATTCAATGGGGATGTGGCTGGAGGAGTTTTACATCAGAGACTCCCTAGAGCCATTAAAAGTACCTTCCATGCCTCACATCTTTGTCTATCATTTTCCAGTCGACCAATTGTCGCTGCTCAGACAAAAGATAAGTTATCTAGTTTTACCATTCCTATGTGTATTTACAAGTCTAGCTGCTCATGTGAAGAAAGCTATATAGGGCGTACTACCAAACAACAAACGTGTTGCTGAGCATCTACCTTCATGGTTGGGAAAGGGACAGATAAAATCCACCAGAAGCTTAGTTTTATCTCACCTCGTTGATAGTGGTCACTCGGTGGATAAGAACATTGCTTTCACGATTATACACCGTATACCATCTCATCTTTCGAAAGGTATTCAAACTCGTCTTTTACTCACGGCAGAAGATGTGGGAATTCAGGCTAATAATCTTAGCCTTTGTATCCAGAAGAAATTGGTACATCCCTTATCTCTCCCTTGGCCAGGGAAGACTTAGTTAATAACTTTATCATTCAGTTGTTTTTTTTCTTACCCCTTTCGTTTACCTACTGTTTTGGCTAGGCTTTGCTTATCCACTTACCTCGCCCTTCGCCATTACGTAACTTTTATTTCACAAGCTTTTGACCCATTTTGATTATCGGAGTAGTATTCATCATGGACTGACATCAGTTGGGGAACCATTGAAAATCTGAGAGCACTGAACAGCCGTTTCTGTCAATTGAGTGCTCCCAGATTTTCAATTGTTCCCCAACTGGTGTCGGTCCATGATGAATACTACTACTAAATTAAAAATCCTCATTCATCTCAAAAATAGATTATCGGGGTGTCTACATTTTCGTGCTGCTTTCTTGGTTCTTATCATCATTATCATCTATATTGCATGTGCTTTAGTCAACGTCATCACTTTATCATTGTATATATATATATATATATATATATATATATATATATATATATATATATATATATATATATATATATATATATATAAAATAAAGTGTGTGCGATCGATCGAAAAGATAGTCACACCTTAAACGAACTCTCAGTGTACGTTTTTGCAAAGCTGTTTTTTATGCTAAAAGACCTTCAGCTTGTATAACCTTGGGAGACTCTACGACATCCTTGTCTTGGTACATTGATGTGGACGCTAAATTTGTCAGCATAAGTTGTCTTGGGAGTTAAGTGTTTATATTAATAATAGAAGTAAAGAAGTTCAGCAACTTACTAATGCACAACAAACGAACTGAAAAGAATATGTGTAAAACTTGGGCACTGTGGTAGAATTTATAACACACAGTGATCTAGTATTATTTACTTGATGACGTTTCGAGCATAAATTATTGCTCATAATCATATAAATGTGCAATGAGCAATAATTTATGCTCAAAACGTCATCAAGTAAATAATACTAGATCATTGTGTGTTATAAATCAAATAAACAAATCTAATATGGAACTGAAAAGAACTTTACATTGGAAAAAAAGCACTTCCTCTTGTTAGGTACTTCATCATCTGCGCTTCTTCTGGCAATCTATTATCTACGTACGTTGCATACATGATCTAGTTTTGATGTCTTATTTCAAGGTAGTATTCATCATGGACTGACATCAGTTGGCGAACCATTCAAATCAATGAGTACCCGCAAACCTTCAAAGTAAAATATAACTCATTACCTAATACACATGCACAGTTGTCATGAGTTCCAATGAATACTGTGTATACGTGTATACACGGAAAAACAGAATGAACAAAATCGGTTGAGCCGTTCAAAAGTTACGAAGAAAAGAGTGATTTTGAGAAGTCGCACTTTGCCAATTTCCTATGTAAATACATAGGCCTATGTTTCCTATAGTAAATTTTCGACCACATTTTCCTTGATAACTTTTAAACGGATAGGTATTTTTGGAAACGTTTTTTTTTTACGTTTATACACTCATCGTGATCTATTCAACGGTATATAGCATGTGCTCTGGTTCCGGTACGAAAATTTTGTGCGCTACGGCGCGTCTTACTCGCCATGTTATATAGGGAGACTACCCCTAACTTCGGTAGTCTTCCATTATGGTAGGCCATGGTCAGTGATCTTGGCTTTCCAGGAGTGCCTATGTTTTATTTTAGTAAATATCTATTCTAATTATCTATCACTTCATCGTCGGCACTAGCGCCCTATTTTTGGACTAGAATTAGATTAGTGCCAACGGAATGCGTTCTGCATGGTTAAAACTGTAGGCGAAGTAATTTCCAAAAATATTATTTCTGTTCCTTTTGATTTTTGATATGAAACTTGGCAGATTGGACTGTTATCCAGTGTTCTCTGACTCTTTAGTATCTATTTGTTTAAAAGTTTTCAGTTTGTACGAAAGCAGGAGTAGAAGTTCTGCAGTTCAGTGGTCTTTAATTCTGTCCTAATTTATTTGTTGTATGTTTCAAATAACGAAACCGTATTATTTGACTGTTTAATCTGTGATTTGATACAAATGGTTACTATAGTATTTGGAATATGAATAGAACAATTTTCTGAAGTTCTGCTTTCTCGTTTCTTTGCAAAATGCATTAATGCGAAATATCAGCCCATTGACTAAGTATCATCTTTATCTTCCGTTTATTCAGGGGATTACACCCTTGGCGAATTCACTGTCAACTGGACATTCTGGACCTAATTCAGTTGATCAAACTCCGGGTAGTGTGTATGGATCCGATTCAGTAGCTACACCACAAGCAATGTATCCATCTCAAACTGGAACCGTGTCACCTTTACAAGCGGCAAACAGTTCCCATCCAGCATCACAGGTTCATTCACCAGTTGCTTCTGGTGGAACTCATTCTCACCAACCAACGCCACCTGGAATTCATTCTTCATACAATGCCTACCATCCTAACACTGGTCAAATGTATCAATACCAGCAACAGTCTCTCTATGATCAGAATGGATCTAAGGTAATGTCTGGCCATGCAGCTTCACCCAACGCACTACAGAATTCATTCCGTCCTCCGTCTAATGCTGCTTCACCTAGTTCACAGTTTATACCGACTACGGTGAACACTACAGGTCTATCATCTCCATGTTCGTCACGTGTGTCAAACAAACAGTATTCCCCTCAATTGACTCCGCACCAAGGTTCCCCTCAAAGTCGCCTAACATGTCCAACGGGAAATCAAAAACCAATCCATTCTCAGGTATGTATACATATTTAGTTGTATTTTATAACTACTTCCAGGTGACTTTAATCCCTCTACCCCACTATGTTATTTTTAAGGATTTTCCCCCTATTCCATCCTGTTCCGTAGTTATGCGTAGTTGCATTGATAGCTGTGGCTGAGCTTTTTTCTAACTTCTTTGTCTTACTAGGATCCACCAACCTTTTGTGCTTTGATAGCCTAATGGACTCTGAACAAATGAAGGCAGTGGTAATCAGTAGCATCGGGCTTGTTAAGGTGACTGATATGAAAGTAGTTAGCAGTGTGCAAAACATATTCCAAATCAATGACTATGAAAGTGGACATTACACTTTGAGGAACATTTCAACCAACGTTCATCTATCCACTTGCAGCCTAAGCGTAGCATTCGCGTTCAACCTTCAAGCTGAAGAGTACCACAAACGAGGAAAAAGTGCATTATGATGGATTGGCACAAGAGACATTAAAGAATAGTAATCAATGATTATTGATCGTGGTAATGAGTGTATTAACTTGTCTATGAAAGTCAGATAGGACACCATCCGACTAGTCTCAGTTGCTTCTACGGTGTGGGCAGACAGGATGTATTAACTACTTGCACGCTTCCAATAGTGCAAAAGACCCAATGGAACGTGACCTATCCTCTTTAACTCCATCTCCTCTCTTGCCTTCACCTCCTGATACTAATATTAAGACTATTATATCTTCCTTAACCTCTCACTCCACGACGAAGATATTGCGCTGCAGTCCGTTCTGTCCTGTTATATGACTGTAAGACGTTTCCATTGTAAGTAAAAGACATGAGGTGGTTACAGTGTTTCGATCTTGGTAAGACTGCTCGCGTTTGGTGGAATCACCGTGTGAGCAATGTTGTGGTCAGGCGAAGCATACTAGGCCAAATAGGCAAGTAGATTGATGAGATTGTCAACCTTTTTCAGCTGAGGCGGTTTGATAGTGTGTTGTGCATGTCGATCCACCACCTACCTCGACGTGCCATGCTAGAGGAAATTTGATTAGGTTGAAAGAAGGTTCATAATGGAGAGAGCAAGACATGGTAGCAGTCGACGAAGTTCCTGATTATTAGTGTGAGCTATATTGGGAGATGTAGAGTGTTTGACTGACCGGTGTCCCATAAACGATAGGAATGAGTGGTTGAGGATTTTGTTGACGTGGTTGTAAATCGGTCACAATGATACATATGTATTCACTGTTTGACGTTTTGTAAAGCTTGAGTATTCGTAATGACCCTTATCTTCGAGTTGTTTATTCTGTTTCCCAATTTTGTCTACTTTGATATCTCTTTTATTCTATCCGTTTTTTCTTTGAATACTACTGTGAAGTGTGGCAAGTTGAACCGATATACTTGTGTGCGATGTTCTAGGTTTACTTTGTAGGTCTATCTGTAGCGAAAAATTAGTTTGACGGACATTTTGTCTAGGTTTCTAGTTTCTGTAGTCTTTAGAGACTGAAGCGAAGCTTTGAAAGAGTTATCTAGAGAAATACGTATGGTTCACACATCTCGCTTCGGGTGTACCAAGCTTATCTTCACTGTCCGCCGTATTTTGTAACACAGGTATGCTTTTGGGCACCTAACACTATTTCTTGACTTGTAATCGGTTTCCAACTCTGTCAATCAAAATGTTTCTTGACGGTATCTAATTAAATGAAAGGTGTGTGACAAGTGAATCATTTTAATGAAGTCCTCGAACGTGTTTATGGAGGTCGCTTTTTCCTCGTTGGCTTTCACATGAGCCGATCTTTCAGGAAGCTTCTTATCCAGTTAAGTTACGCAGTTGGTACAGTCATGATAGATGAAGGCTGTAACGTGATACAATGTTCTCAGCAAGGCGGGTGACAATTTGGGTTGCATTTCTTGCCTTTTTAGTGAGATACTACGAAATCTACCAAGGTTGAGCTACGCAGGATTAATTTTCTAGTTTTCTTGTATGTGAAAAATGATACATTAGTGATACATTTCAGGAGGTAGGAAGAAGTAGATTAGTTTTTAGATAAGCGGATGACATTGAAATTCTATACCAGCGGTTGAGTGTTTTTCCATGCGTATTTTTATCTTCCCCTCTATTTTCACTGCGTTTACTATTTGCTTGTTTTTGTTTCCTGAGTAACAACAAAGCCTATCTTCTATTTATTGACAGGTTTTGGGTTGACAAATTGGCACTATTTATCTGCATATTTCTCATTATTATTATTGGCGCCCTGGAGGCCGTTTTATGTTCCATTATGTTAGCTACTTTACTCCCTAGAATATCATTATTGGACACGCTCCCCTCCTCTTTGTCTCTTAATTTCGTATTTAGCATTCTGAAATTGAGGGGGTGGGAATGACTACTCTCTTTATTTAGTTCCCGTAGTTTTATAAAACACATCTTTTTAGTATTGAGATACAGTGTGACAGAAAACATGATTGAAACATGAATGAATAAATCTGTGAGTTACCTGTATCAATTCGGTAGTCATTAGTCTCTACTGACACTCTTACAAATTGAATCATCAAACCTTCAACATTTTATTGACACTATTCTAACCATGATGTCAGTGTGAACTGTTTATAATGTGGACAGTGAGCCACAACTTAGTACGGTTGACTGAAGTCTTTTAAACGTGTGACTGTAATTCACTGTAATTCATTGCTTGATTGTATTCTCCTCAGAAATTTAGTCGTTGAAGGTCAATTAAACAAAATGTTTAAATTTTGTTCTATTATAGTCATCCTCGAAAAGTAACTCACTAGCAGCGTAACTATGAAGTGAGCAACATCAAATAGGAATACAAAGCGACATGCAAGGAGTACATTATTCAACGAGGTCGGATTCCTAGATAGTCTGAGGTTAATTGGGATTTGTTACTTTCGCCAACCCACCGACATGTGGATGTGAAGTTAGACTGAGAGAATTTATCATGAATCTACTGATTGCTATAAAAGTGTGAATAGTTTGACCGTTGTCTTTGAGATTTCGAGATTAATAAATTGAAGATTTTGAGTGTGGTCACATGTCTCACCGGTATTCATCTTCACCGAAATTTAGAACATGTTATTGATGGTTATTTGCATGTTTCATCATAACTTTCTTACTTTAATGCATTCTTCTGTTCTTCTCTCACACTTTATATCACAATTTCATAAGGTTCAGCATTTTTTGATCGTTTCTTGAGTATATAAGTTTTTACATTTTGTTGTTACTATTGAATATAATTTTTTTTTATGGGGTATGACTAATTAGACCTTGCCTTTCCATACTAACAAGATCAGGACTTCCTATCGGATGACTTGTAACATGTGACATGTTTGATTGACGCTATATCGAGAGGACTTGATATGAATGACTCTAAAGGTCGACCGAAATAACCAACTATTTTTCTTTATTTTTGTTGAAATGGCAGATTTTCACAAAATGAAGATGTCTAATTGATTATTTCAGTTATGGTTGGTAGGGTGGCCTTTAGAATCACTCTTCCATATTTCCCAATTTGTGTTCATTGTTAGAAAACATATTACCGTAAAAGTGAGATTCTATAAACTGTTAAATATCTTCTTCACTAACTTGCTCATTTCAATACTCTTAATGTTGCATTCTCATGAGTATTTAATTTGTATTCAACTAGTTCATTCGCGCTGGTCAACTCTCAGTATCATCAGCATTACCGGGTAATCAGATAAATGACAACTTCACATCGCATTCCAGATCAAATACTCCGACCAATGCAGCTTATTCTAACAGTACAACAATCAATTCTGGCTCACTGAATACTACACAATATGCCAACTATATACCGAAGGACGGATTGCAGCAACCATCATTGCAACAACAACAATCACAAATGAAAATATCTAGCCCTCAATCTTCGCCATGTATTGCTGGGTAAGACTTGTTTGTATAACACTACTCATTACCTAGTATTCATACAATAATGTCCAGTTTTTTCAAGTACTTTAAAGTTTGTTGCATACTTTAACGATTGCATATATTGCTGTTGTTTCTGAATGTGATCAACCCAGGGCTTCTTCTACTTCTCTGATATATTCAAATCAATATAAGATATGAGGATACCCTATGCATATATATATATATATATATATATGTGGAGAGAGAGAGAGCTGTTACTCACTGGTTTAAGTGGTCGAGTTTTAACCAATGAATCTTTGGTTCCAGTCTTTATCCAAATCCCGACGCCTGAGTAAGTGGTTAATCTTATCATACACCATTGCACAACAGGTAGAGTTCACTCTCTAATGCTCATAGTTACTGAGTTACATCATTATGTTAAATAGTCAACTATCCCAGTTGCATCAGGTTAACTGTTTGGTTAATCTACTTATTGTTGCACCATCCTTTGAGAATGCTTTTGGATTCATTTAGTCCTTTCCTACTACAGAGTTTCAAACATATCTCATATCACATATCACATATGAGTGTACATGTCACTTAGATGCATCTAAGTGAATAGTATCTATTATGTCTTCTCTTTTATGTCTATATCTATATATATCTATATATCTATATATCTATATCTATATATCTATCTATATATCTATATCTATATCTAATTGTACTATAACATATTGCAACCTCTTATTTCTCTCTTTCCTAATTCCATTACCTCTAGGGTTGATGTCAACCTTATGCAACTTCCATCGAACTTACCTAATCAGCCTGGTGTAACAATGACACCACAAAATCATCGTCGATCACATATGGCGACTAATTCTAATATGCATATTCATCAGTCAGTGCTGATAGCACAACAACAACAACAACAGTTAGGTCCCAATAGATCTGTACTATGGGAAGGCGAAATTCATGTGGCTGGTCCAAGTGGAATGAACATTACTAGTCGCTTTTCGACACGTCTTCTATTGGAACAGTGTGCTGTCCGTGATATGAAGTACGCAAGTATTATTCATATTCTTGTTTCTTTTATTTTGGTATATGAGTTTCTTTTGTGGAAATTAGTAACACGGTATTATCTGCATTGACCACTAATGGGTTTTACCAGACAATTGACGGCGATCATCACATAGAATGCTGGTTCTTTTGTTATGAATTGCGACCTTCTCACTAACTTACATGAAGAGGTTAAACTCAGATGATCGAATAGTTAAGCTTTATAAAATTTGAACAGCTGATGTAGATGATATTCCAGTTTTTCACTTTTAATCATGACTATATGACTTCCAACAGAGACATTTGATATCTTCGTGCAAAATATGAAATTGGTATAGAATTAGTAAACTTTTTCATTTGATATCATATGATTTTTAATTTGTATGTGGACGCTTCTATCAGTTTGGTGCAGTTTTCCAATTGGTCTAAAATCAACCTAAGGCTTGAATATCCTACTACCCCTTGTCTGTATTTCTTTTATAACGTTTCAATTTGCTGATTCATACTTTTCTCACAAATTCTGTCGTAGGTATTTTCCTCTTTTCATATTCTTGTCATACTTCTTTGAAGTTTGACAACTTTCGCGCAACCAAAACTTGTGCTAGAATTGATCCTGTTGCCATCTGTTTGCTTGAATGAATTCTCGCAAAAATTGCGCTTGTTATTGCTTTTTTTTTATCATCTCATGTGATAACTTTTAAAGCTATCACAGAAAAAGCTGCCAGTATGATTATTATTATTATTAAAAAAAAAATTTTGCATCTCTTGTGTTTCGCAAACAGTTTCCACGAGTTGTTAAACAACAATGAAATATAGGTAATATGAACATCCTTTTATTGTTCATTGATTTATGAATTAATAACTTCGCTATCTTCTTTGACCTTGATAGTCCCCGTTGGGTTAGAATGCCTCACAGACTTGGCTTATGGCTTAGTTACTGCATTAGACTCGATTTATTAAAAGATCTTCAGTTCTGAAACTAATTTCACTTCCCAGTGAGGTGGTTATTTGGAAAATACAGAGAAATATTCTTTGATTGCATTATCGCACTGTCGCTGAGTTCGATTAAATGTTTGTTTATCTAGTCGCCAAAACATTCCATGTACTTCGAAATATTTGATGATTATAATCATTATGTCGAAAGTGGGTGACATTTACGTACATGCACACACAGACTCTACTAAATAACACTATCCGATAGGATACCTATCGAAATGCCATCCCACTTTCTCAGTGTTTATTTTAGTAGTATTACTTTGTCATCAAAAATAACTTTATGTATTATTCATTGGATTTAAAGTCTTTTCGGTATGCGCGCATTCTATAAGTGACTGCTTGATCCGTGCATATGTTGGTCGAATGAGTTATATATAGCATGCATGTGTCATATATATATATATATATATATATATATATATATATATATATATATATATATATATATAGTTTGCAGTTTTCTTTGAAAGCAGATTCTACTTCATCACTAAGACATCGATGATTTGTACTTTGCTTTCCCCATTCATTTTGTTAACAAAGAAAAAAGTAGTCAAGAATTAAAAATATACACATAGATAAATGGTTAATGTATTTGTGTAGGAATTTTATATTCGTAAAATAGCAGAAATAAACTGCACACCCACAGTCTCATCATGCTTAGTTATTATATTTATTCGCCGTTGTGTGTACAGCTGCTTTATTAATGAATTGTGTCAACAATGTAATTTATTTGTTTTAGCAGAAGTAAAAGTATCTTGGTTATTAACATAGGGAATGGCGCATTGTTTTTATTGAAATTACTTCATACTATTAGTTCCTTGGACCTCACGGGAATTTTTAGTTTTTAAGGTTGGTGGATATTAAATCGCTAGTGGGCTAGTCTTTACAGACTTAGATTAGGCAGATATATCTGTGACATCAAGGCGTCCGATTATCCCTATCCATTAATGGGTTTTGTTGAAACACTAAGAACTACATCATATAAATTGTATTAGGTAACCTTTTTAGTATATGGTTTAGCCAGTTGTTGAGGAAGTGGATCACGATGAACCTAGTTTAATTATGATGCTTTGTTCACTGGTGTTGAATTTTACGATTTTGTATTTCAGGGTTCTCATAAGTGACCATCCAGGAGATTAAAATCTAATCTGTGGTATCCTGGCTATGAAATTCGGGTATTTGAACCCATAAAACACTAATCATATTATAGTACACACCTACTCCACTCTTTTATCTTTCCCGTTTGTCAGTAAGATGTTCCGCTTGTAACAGCTGATTTTACAACTGGTTCTTTGGTTCATTCACATGACCCGCAACACCTTTTCTAATTTGCCTCCGCGTATGTATTTCCAGTGATTATTTCTTTCATGATTACCACCGTTTCTGAAATTTTTTTTTTTCTGCATGCATTTTGAAATTTAATGTTTTATAGTTATTATTTGATTTTTTGCTGTGTATTTCACTCACTCAATTGGACTTCCTTTTTGTAGGAAAATCAATATCTTTGTCTTTTTGTTAACTTCTATTATATATAACTCCGCCTACTTCAAATTTTATCTGGGTTTTAAAACAATATTTTTAAGGCCTTTTGTCTTACTACCTTGTTTGTCATTTGACACTGTAAATGATTACTTTTTCATTGACTTATATTGACCTATTAAGTTTTCCGTGTCTTGAGAGACGTATAGTTTAACCAATAGATATTTACTCAGATACATATAGTCAATACACTTTGTATTACTCGCGTAAATGTTTGTGTATAATTGACACAAATGAATCTATTCAAAAACTAAGTCTTTCATATGAATCTATTTAAGAATGCATTTACTCTCTTCACTGACTTTAGGATCTTAGGTTCTCTATGTCTTATGCATAACCAGTCATCCTCCTCTTTCTCCTCCTCCTTTACAAATAAGTAGGGCATTATAAGTTGCTGCTCACTGGCTTACATTTCTTACTAGCAACAATTCGGTCATAGGTTCAACTCCTTACTTTAGCTAATTTAGCATAAGGCATTCAGTAAGATCATATACATTAGGTGTAGTTCAAAATTTAGTCAACAAAATTGTACCATAGTAACAGATGGGTTACTTTATTTTTAAAATTGTAGTTCATTTGATGCTATAACTTGTGGATCTTCGACGTTGATTGCACCGAATTGATCGGCCACTACTTGCATATAGGCTCCTGCATGAATACCTCAATATTGCCAGTACTTTCAAATTTGATATTAATCATAGATACTGACTAGAGATGGGATCCAAGACACATATTTCGTCCTAATTGGGACTCATCAGCTGCTTGTACCTACTTTTCAATAAGTAGCTTTACTCCCACTTAGGACGGATCCCAAGACCGAACGCTTCAAACTCCAAAGCGTTATCTACTAGGCCGATCAACTCTGTCCAATTAACGACAGAGATTTATAAACTGTAACATCATGGACTGTATAATACCCGTCACACAACGAGTGACTGTCGTGACTCAGTGACCGAGTGGATAACACTAGCGCTTACACCGATTCGCCGCCGGTTTCAGTCTTAGCCGTAACAAAATAGCTCTATAGGCGACAGCTATGGACTTCCAAATAGGGTGAAACGCATCCCGCATTCCACTCCCAACCACCATCCATCTTCAGTGTCATTCATTTCTATACAAAATCAAATTTCAACCCATTGGATATACATTTAACTCACCTATCCATTCACCTTGTGTAGCAGTATCTCAACTTTAATGAAGTAAATGGGTAGCTCATACATGATTATCGATTCATCGTTACCTATTTATTCTTCTTATTTGTCCCTTAGGTTCCTAGTGGAACATGGGGCTTCAGTAGCACGCCTCTATTTCTCTCCGTTCTCTAGAGTCTTTTGAACCTGGCTCCACGACTCTCCACAAGCTTTCATTCCTTCCTCACATCATCTCCTCCATGTCACCCTTTCCTCAGACACCCAACACATCGTTTCCCCCTTTGGATTCCACTCGACCGTCTGGCCTGGCACATGATGTCTCCAAATGATCTGCTCAGTGTATGCCCAATCCAGTCAGTCCATCTCCACTTCCTTCTGCATATTTGTTGGGTGATAGGTTGTTGGTTGTTTCGTTGCCAGCCAGGCCATAGTTCCTTGTTGCTTATTCTTATTATTCTGGCCATCTCATCTGATCTTCAGTATCGAGTGAGTGTAGGCGGCAGCTGTTCATGAATGTCTGTAGTTTGTTGGAAATGCTTTTCGTGATGCTCCAAGTTTCTGAGCCATATATAGAAGTAGTGACTTGACATTGGTGTTGAAAATCCGAATCTTGTTCAGGCTTTATGCAGAGTGGAGTGGAGTGGAGTGCAGTGGATCTCCACACTGATTTCAGGTTAATGAAGGCGTGTGTTGCTTGCTAGCTTTTCCCATCCTGGCTTTGACGTCCTCATGTGTGCCACCACCGCCTGTGGTTGAAACGATGCTGCCTTGTCTAGGTATGTGGTGGGTAGGTGAGAGAGACAACTTCCTTTAGGTTTCTCCCGTTGGCGGTGATTGGTGCTTGTTGTTGTTGATGCTGTTGTTGGTTGGGTATCTTCATCACCTCTGTCTTCTCTACATTCACTTGAGAAGTCGCGTTTTCGCTTCCTCACCTTTTCTGTCAACTTGTTGATTTTTGCCTGTAGATATTCGAGTTTGTGCAGAAGACATTAGACATGAATCATCGTTGTCGGCGAAATGGAAATCTTCTCCTAGGGTCTTTTTTATTATCGGTCGAACAGCGTATGCGTAATCTTCTCGCTCCTCATGGTTTGCTGCATGATCCAGTCCATTCGACCACAATCAGGAAGATCATTGGTGATAGCAGGCAGGCAGGCAGCCTTGTCTTACACCTGTCTTCACTTCAAAGGCGTCACTGAGCTATCCATTGTGGATCACTTGACATGTGGCGTTTTCATATAGCTGTTGAATGAGGTTGATAAAGGCTTGTGGCACTAGAACCGTGGTGTTGAAGCAGCTGCCTGCCAAATTATTTCTCGGTCGACGCTGTCGAAGGCCTTTTCAAAGTCGATGAAGTTGAGGTAAAGATCCAGTTGACTGCTGTTCAATACTCAGTTCAATGATGATGTGTAGTATAGCGTTGCAATTTGATCCGCATATGATTTGTTCTTCCTGAAGCCAGCCAGCTAGCCAGCCTGTTTGGTCGTAATTTTGAATCCAGTGCATCCTTTAGTCTCTCCAGGATGATGCGGCCTACTATATTGTTTGGAGTGGACAGGAGTGGAGTATGATTCCGTGCCTGTTGTTTCAAAGACTCAGGTCTCCTTTTTTGGAAGTTTGACAAAGTAGCCCTTCTTCCAATCAGTGGGCAGGTACCTTTCCTTCCTTCCTTCCTTCCTTCCAAACCTTCTGCAGTAATAGTGTGAGGATTTCCCATGTTGTCTCTGTGTCTGTTTTCAGTACTTCTGGAGGAATTCCATCTGGTCGTGCTGCTTTCCCGAATTTCAGCGACCTAATTGCGTCCAGGACTTCGCTTCTGCTTTTGTCGGAGGGCATGTGTTCACTGGTAATTCTGCGGTTACCGGTTAGTATTTCTGGATGAGTTGCATATGGTGATGGTGGTCGATTCAAGAGTTTTATGAAGTGGTCAGTCCATTGTTTACTTTGTTTCTCCTCTCTGCTGGTAACTAAGTTTCCCTCACTATCTCTCATTGGTTTCATCTGCGTTGATCTCTTCCCAGATAGTAAGTAACCTGGTTATTTGATATAATGTTGTCAGGTCTCTCCTACCAGACCTCAGCCTGTTCTGCTTCACTTGCAAGTGTGTCATAGAAGTGTCTTCTGCCTTTGTGCGCACTCTTCTTCACTTCTGTGTCCAGTGTAGTGTTTTATACGTTGTACTCAGTTTTTCTTTTCGTTGTTCATCCCTACACTGCATAGGTTCATCTTCTACTTCACCATCACCATCTTCCTCGCTCTGCTCTATCACCTCCCATGTGTCCGTCGAGATCCATTCCTTATCTTCTTTCTTCTCCCTTCTTCCTTCCTAGCACAGTTATGCAGGTTTCTTTCAGCATAGATTTCAAAGAGTTCCAGTGTTATTCCATGCCTGATCCTTCAGGGATGTTGCTTGATGTCTTCCATTTTGTCCTGATGGCTGGCTGATGTGAAGATGTCCTTTGTAGTCTCCTCCTTCAGTTCGCTTTCTGTTCTGGGTGTTCAACTTGAACTGTGGCCGTCTACCACCAACTTCCTTGAAGGCTTTCAACTTGATTTTGAAAGTAGGTTCCTTTCACTAGATAGTTGTGTGAGTGGTGTGAACCACCTACATCTGCTCCCCTTCTTCATCTAATCTTGTGTCCAGTAAGCCGCGTCTCCACTTTCTTCACATTGAGATGAAGTCAATCTGACTTTTAGTGTGTCCATCTGGCGAAATCTATGTCGCTTTGTGAATATCCTTGTGTTTGTACACACTGCCTCCCCTCCAATCACCAAATCGTTGAATGCGCAGAAGTCTCCAAACAATCAACCATTCTCATTCATTTCACCGAGTGCTTCTCGACCAGTGATGAATCCTCTTCCTGTGTTGTCCGCTCCCAGTTTTGGCATTCATGTCATCCCACCCATTAGAATTTTGATGTTGCCATCTGGGATGAGGTCCTGTCCAATACTGACTGCAGTTGTCTGTAGAATTCCTCCTTCTTCTCTTGGTTCGTGTCTGCATTATTTGTAGGTGTATGGTGTAGCATTGTATGATTGTGACTTTCCTTCCTTCTCAGTTGAATCCATCTTGCTGTCATGATCCGGATCCTGAAGGAGGAGATTGGTTCCCAATGTATGGGAGAGAGCCTTCGATGTTTTCGGAGACATCATGATAGCCACTCAAAAACTAAGGAGCGGCCAGTAAGTAGTGAACTAGTTAACCAGTCGAGCCTTGTCAGCTATTTAATAACATTAAATTCATGCACTTTTCCTGGTCAACATAACTTTCTAAGCTTCAGGCAGCTCTACTGACACTGTTAAAGTTAGTACTTTTTGGTTTGTTTTTTTTTAACAAGAATTGGATTTAAAGTACTGAGTTATTGGTTATTGACGTATGGTGTGTTGAAAATATAAGCCTTCTTTTATAAATATTCCGTGGAATGGATACACAGAATGCTGTCAGTTGTGTATAATTTTATGTGTGGGACTGTGACTTGTCTATCTGGGCAATAGGGTTTCAAACACTAGGTCAAGAATTCGAAGCTTGCTCCACCTACCGAGGTGGATTGTCAGTTGTTCGTATTATTCTCTGTAGTGTGTGAATGTATGCATGAGTTCTGAGTGCACAAAAGCAGTATTGCGACACGTATGTTTACTTTTTGTCATTCTCGAATTACTTATTCTCTTATGTACTTTTTCTCTTTCCTTGTTTTACTATCTCTCTACTTTTCATCGTTTTCTTGCTCTATATCACTATGAATTGTGATGATTTAAACCCATGCACTTTTGTTTCACATCCTACGTTGTTCTCCCTGTTTATCTCAATGATACAGATGTAATGATGTTATCACTTTTCACTTTACCAAAGTATCTGGTGTCTTATTCTTAAATTGGAGACTACAAACTAGCTGAGAGGGAAATTTTACACATACTGGCTATACCTAATAAATATGTGTATAGGGTCGTAACATTTTTAAAAGCAACTGCGCTTCCTTATTGGTGTACCTTTATGAATCTTTGCCCTTCTCATTTATTTTGTTTTTTATTCTATTCTTATAAAAATTACGCATCCAACGGATTGTTTTTACTGAAAAGATTTAGAAAGATTTACTGGTGTAATAATTATTGTTTCCTCTGTACACTATGAAATGTAGATTTTAAGTAGTACATGTGTAAATGCGTTAATTCAATTCATCGAGAATTAAAATAATATTCTGTTGTAGTGGTCATGAGTTACTGCATTTCGAGTTCGATGAAAAAAATAAAGAATTTAAGATTGACGAATGATATTTCTGAACAAACCAATGCCTTAATGTATATGTTCATTGATTAATGAGTTTCTTTAAGAAGCGGTTAACACTTGAATCTTGAAATTCATTTGGAACCAAGTTCATCTTTACCTGAATGTGTTTATCCATGAAGGAAAATTGTTCTGGTTTTCCTGAATCATGGAACTGTTGAACTATTTGTATATGACTGTCTTTAGATGCTTCTTGGAGTTCATTGGTTTCGATTTCTGCTGAGAACCATTAGAATTATATATATATATATATATATATATATATATATATATATATATATATATATGTCGAAGTTGATTGTGCTAGATTGGCTTCAAGAAGAAGACTGTGGGTGTTCGTGATTATACAATTCGTTCCACTCAAGGGACATTCTAAATGCTTTCCCCACGCTATATAACTTTGTTATGTTAGCTGCTGAGAATTCTTAGTTCCTTATCTTCTTTCCTTCAGCTCATTCATCTGTTTTGTGTTGTAGACTAGATCTTCCTATTGGTTTTGTTTACACACGTTTAGTCGAGTGGTTCAGTAGGATACTACATTAGTTTACCTTACCAACTCACTTGGAGTTCACTTTCTGTAATGTGACTAAAGGAGATTTTTGAAATTCAAATTTAATGTTACTTCTTCCTTCTGGCATGGGATATGTTGTAAAAGAATATTCACTTATCGAGTCTAATCAGACACCCAGAATATTTCATACTTTTTATAATCTTCGAAGTTGCCATTTACAAATAAACATTCATTCGCAGCTTGAAGTCATCCATCTCAATTTGCGACAACATTATCAGGTCAAATTTTGATCCTGAAGTTTATGAATAGTCGTTGCGTTTAGCGTTGTATTTTTTTTTCTCATGAAAGTATTAATATATTTAATAACACATTACCTAAAATTCGTTGTTTAATAAGAATCTTGTTTCATTTCTGTGCCAGCAGTCAAATCAGTATGCAGATGTGGGGATCTGTTGCGCAGTTATCAGTTATTCAAGCCTATAGAGATAGTCCACTAGTTGAACGTCTTTCAAGTCCACTTGCCAGTGGTCAGTTACTAGCTCGATTACTGGTTGAGTTACCTGTAAGTCAATTTCACATTTTATTGCCAGTATATCGATATTTGCAACATTTAATGTTATTAATTAAACCTGGTTAACTAGTAGTTCACTAGTTACTAGCTTGTCCTAAGCCCGGATAAACAGGGAAGGTTGCGCATAGGGCTAGCAACCCTACCCTGTAAAACCAATCTAACCGCTAAGGAAACTTCAAAGCAAAAAGATAATATAAAAAATTAAGATAAATCCATTCCTCGCGGGAATCGGGGAGACGAAATAACGCCGGTTGGTGAAGGCCTTCGGGAAGCCGATTGGCCGATGTTTCTTCTCTTCTCCCTATGGAAGCGAAAGTAAACATGGGGACATGAAATGTCCGCACCATGTTTGAAGCTGACTGGCAAGGCTGTCCAGATTGCAAAAGAGATGAAAAGATGTGGCATGGAAGTGCTTGAAATCTGCGGAAGTAGATGGAATGCAAGTGGATTCTCTCAACTGTCAACTAGAGAGTCAATAATCTACTCCAATATTGTCACCGAGTCGACAACCACGAGCACACTGAGTTTTTGAGTGGCTATCATGATGTCTCCGGAAACATCGAAGGCTCTCTCCCATACATTGGGAACCAATCTCCTCCTTCAGGATCCGGATCATGACAGCATGATGGATTCAACTGAGAAGGAAGGAAAGTCACAATCATACAATGCTGCGCTATGCACCTACAAATAATGCAGACACGAACCAAGAGAAGAGGGATGAATTCTACAGACAACTGCAATCAGTACTGGACAAGACCTCATCCCAGATGGCGACACCAAAATTCTAATGGGTGGGATGACATGAATGCCAAAACTGGGAGCGGACAACACAGGAAGAGGATTCATCATTGGTCGAGAAGTGCTCGGTGAGGTGATGAATGAGAATGGTTGATTGTTTGGAGACTTCTGCGCATTCAACGATTTGGTGATTGGAGGGGAGGCAGTGTGTACAAACACAAGGATATTCACAAAGTGACATAGATTTCGCCAGATGGACACACTAAAAGTCAGATTGACTTCATCTCAATGTGAAGAAAGTGGAGACGCGGCTTACTGGACACAAGATTAGATGAAGAAGGGGAGCAGATGTAGGTGGTTCACACCACTCACACAACTATCTAGTGAAAGGAACCTACTTTCAAAATCAAGTTGAAAGCCTTCAAGGAAGTTGGTGGTAGACGGCCACAGTTCAAGTTGAACACCCAGAACAGAAAGCGAACTGAAGGAGGAGACTACAAAGGACATCTTCACATCAGCCAGCCATCAGGACAAAATGGAAGACATCAAGCAACATCCCTGAAGGATCAGGCATGGAATAACACTGGAACTCTTTGAAATCTATGCTGAAAGAAACCTGCATAACTGTGCTAGGAAGGAAGAAGGGAGAAGAAAGAAGATAAGGAATGGATCTCGACGGACACATGGGAGGTGATAGAGCAGAGCGAGGAAGATGGTGATGGTGAAGTAGAAGATGAACCTATGCAGTGTAGGGATGAACAACGAAAAGAAAAACTGAGTACAACGTATAAAACACTACACTGGACACAGAAGTGAAGAAGAGTGCGCACAAAGGCAGAAGACACTTCTATGACACACTTGCAAGTGAAGCAGAACAGGCTGAGGTCTGGTAGGAGAGACCTGACAACATTATATCAAATAACCAGGTTACTTACTATCTGGGAAGAGATCAACGCAGATGAAACCAATGAGAGATAGTGAGGGAAACTTAGTTACCAGCAGAGAGGAGAAACAAAGTAAACAATGGACTGACCACTTCATAAAACTCTTGAATCGACCACCATCACCATATGCAACTCATCCAGAAATACTAACCGGTAACCGCAGAATTACCAGTGAACACATGCCCTCCGACAAAAGCAGAAGCGAAGTCCTGGACGCAATTAGGTCGCTGAAATTCGGGAAAGCAGCACGACCAGATGGAATTCCTCCAGAAGTACTGAAAACAGACACAGAGACAACATGGGAAATCCTCACACTATTACTGCAGAAGGTTTGGAAGGAAGGAAGGAAGGAAGGAAAGGTACCTGCCCACTGATTGGAAGAAGGGCTACTTTGTCAAACTTCCAAAAAAGGGAGACCTGAGTCTTTGAAACAACAGGCACGGAATCATACTCCACTCCTGTCCACTCCAAACAATATAGTAGGCCGCATCATCCTGGAGAGACTAAAGGATGCACTGGATTCAAAATTACGACCAAACAGGCTGGCTAGCTGGCTGGTTGGCTGGCTTCAGGAAGAACAAATCATATGCGGATCAAATTGCAACGCTATACTACACATCATCATTGAACTGAGTATTGAACAGCAGTCAACTGGATCTTTACCTCAACTTCATCGACTTTGAAAAGGCCTTCGACAGCGTCGACCGAGAAATAATTTGGCAGGCAGCTGCTTCAACACCACGGTTCTAGTGCCACAAGCCTTTATCAACCTCATTCAACAGCTATATGAAAACGCCACATGTCAAGTGATCCACAATGGATAGCTCAGTGACGCCTTTGAAGTGAAGACAGGTGTAAGACAAGGCTGCCTGCCTGCCTGCTATCACCAGTGATCTTCCTGATTGTGGTCGAATGGACTGGATCATGCAGCAAACCGTGAGGAGCGAGAAGATAGGCATACGCTGTTCGACCGATAATAAAAAAGACCCTAGGAGAAGATTTCCATTTCGCCGACAACGATGATTCATGTCTGATATCTTCTGCACAAACTCGAATATCTACAGGCAAAAATCAACAAGTTGACAGAAAAGGTGAGGAAGCGAAAACGCGACTTCTCAAGTGAATGTAGAGAAGACAGAGGTGATGAAGATATCCAACCAACAACAGCATCAACAACAACAAGCATCAATCACCGCCAACGGGAGAAACCTAAAGGAAGTTGTCTCTCTCACCTACCCACCACATACCTAGACAAGGCAGCATCGTTTCAACTACAGGCGGTGGTGGCACACATGAGGACGTCAAAGCCAGGATGGGAAAAGCAAGCAAGCAACACACGCCTTCATTAACCTGAAATCAGTGTGGAGATCCACTGCACTCCACTCCACTCCACTCTGCATAAAGCCTGAACAAGATTCGGATTTTCAACACCAATGTCAAGTCACTACTTCTATATATGGTTCAGAAACTTGGAGCATCACGAAAAGCATTTCCAACAAACTACAGACATCCATCAACAGCTGCCACCTACAGTCACTCGATACTGAAGATCAGATGAGATGGCCAGAATAATAAGAATAAGCAACAAGGAACTATGGCCTGGCTGGCAACGAAACAACCAACAACCTGTCACCCAACAAATATGCAGAAGGAAGTGGAGATGGACTGACTGGATTGGGCATACACTGAGCAGATCATTTGGAGACATCATGTGCCAGGCCAGACGGTCGAGTGGAATCCAAAGGGGGAAACGATGTGTTGGGTGTCTGAGGAGAGGGTGACATGGAGGAGATGATGTGAGGAAGGAATGAAAGCTTGTGGAGAGTCGTGGAGCCAGGTTCAAAAGACTCTAGAGAACGGAGAGAAATAGAGGCGTACTGCTGTCGCTGTATATTCCTGTGAGAGCCCTGTGGAGGAGAATGAATAGCAGTTATCTTGTTTATCGGGTGACTATTCACTGTTTAGAAATATGCATTTATTGCGTATTTTTTTTCATGGGGTGGTAGGTCTATGTTAGATGAACGAAGTGATTAGGTAGTCGACATTTTTCGTGATTTAGTTTTTTCAATTTTTATGTGTAGTGCTTAATTATCGCATTCAGGTGACGTGGAATTGTGAAGTAAATATTAAAAAAATTTTTTTTTTAGAGCAAAATGAAATGTTATATTTTCAAGCAGTTGTTTTGAATCATTTTGAAGTTACTGGTTGAGAGATTTATCGGTGATTTTTGTTGGATATATAATTCTGTAGAGTTTATGGTAAATAGTGATGTACATTGCTCATTTGCTATAGCATAACAAATTTTATTTTGCTGCATCCTGATTGCTGACCGAATGTTGCCAATTAGTTTGCAGTCAAAGTGCACTACGATGCTGGGTCTCTTGGTGCGATAATCACATTGCAAATGATCTGTCCCTGACAGCACTTAGGGCTTGATAGCAAAATAATGATTACTCTAGAGTCAGTCATTGCTTTTCATTCAGTCCTGTAGTTGATCCATCGCAACTCAAACAGCCCATCGGTAATTTCTCTGACTGCAGCAATGGGTATATGTGTATTTACTCAGCAACTTTGTCCACATTCATGCACCAGGCAATGAGCCACACCTATTGTGTATAGGCTATCGAGGATACTACGTTGCTGCCCAAACCTCTGTCGGTGGCACGGGTTTCAACCCCGTGGTACACTGGTTAAGGGTCATTTATCTAAACTTGTGAACCATAGTTCAACTGGTTGGTGTGAATTCGGATCACCGGTGAGGCAGTAGTTCCATTGACGTTTTGGATGCACCTTACTGACAGGTGTAAAGGAGCACTTAACCTAAATCTTGAGCTTCATGGGGCTTACCCTTGAACACCAAAATGAATATGTGTTGACAAGTTCAAACCTGTTCTCTATAATGATCGTGCTTCAGCAGCATTGTGATATCCTCCCACTTACAGGACATATGTAGCACTCATTGCATTGTAGTCAAGTAAAAACAGTCAGTGGTACTACTTCTAAGTAACTATGTCAATATGGTGTAATGCTTTACTTATGTTCTTAACGCTTTTTTACTGTGTTTGCATTATTTGCTGCATACATCTAAGTCTACAGTTATTTTTATAACTCAGTCAATTGTTATCTGCTCTTTGTAATACTTGTAGTCTGATATTAAATATCTTAATGTGACAGTGACTAATTAAACGTCGTTTTTTTTCGCTCCTTTTGATTGTTGTTATTTTTTCCATGTCTCAAGGATCCTAATGATGCCAACAATTTGAGCACATTACTCTCACCACAGGGTAATCAAATGATGATACCTTTAGGTGTTCTGTCTCCATCATCCATCCGTTTATCCAATCCAATTCAACCCGGTATCGTTGGATTCATCTGTTTAATACACAATCCAAAGCGTAATCGAATACACGGTAAGTAGTTGCCAGCAGTCATACTGTGTTTATACGAAAGAGGTGTAATAGTATTATGTAGTATGTAACCATGTTATTTCATTGTTAAAATACCTGGAAGAAAAATATCTCCAATGTTATTCTTCCTAGCCGAGTTCGTACGAAAGATTGGTGATCCCAATATCAGTTTTACAATTGAAATGAATCAATCTGTACTGAAGGAAAATATGTTATATTGAGATAAAAATTTCACTTCATCATATTAATCAATCTGATTACAAAATGTGTTACATCTGGCTGTTTGCTTAATTTTTGCGTGTTTTTTACATACCAGCTAGTTAGTACTATCATGGGATCTGATATCGCTGTTATCGTAGTATTACAGTTCAGTTTGCCACATCTCATATTAGAACATCAGAATAAAATGCAACGAGAAAATCAAAGAGGTAAAAGTAGTATAACGTTGTAGAAACTCATGAAATAAAAAGAAGTGAGATAAATATTAATAAACATTTCAACCGAAATAGTTCTTTTACGGAATACTGTTCAACCAACGTGTATATTATACACGTGTTGGTTCCACGACAATAAACTTATAATGGGTAGACATTAGTGGTCAAACACGTTGAGTCTTCTCTTTCAATGCTCATGTTCCACGTGGCTAAAAAGTAGAATAAAGCAAATCAATCAGTCTTTATTTTCTCCTGCCTTACCTTATATTATCGTAAGTATTACGTGAAAAACACGAAGAATATGAACACTTTGATTGATACCCATGAAATGAAATTAAGATGTGACCAACACCTAGTGAAGCACCGGGTCTGTGAGCCGAAGGAAGCTGGTTTAGATCTTGCCACTGCCCAGATCTTTATTTCACCTTCAATCAGCATCATCATCTAGTATCAATGATACTAATATCGTTAAACATTTTCAATGCATTCTGCGTACCCTCTTTGTATTGATTTTTCAGTGAAATTGTGTATATACTAATTCTTTCTGTTGATACATTCCATAATTTTTGACATGATTTTTTTGTTATAAGTGAAGTTCTATATCTGTCATACATTATGGACGATTGTTTGTTGTGTTTTATATCTATCACAATGTTTAAACAAAGGTAGCTTGTGTACATGTATATATATATATATATATATATATATATATATATATATATATATATATATATTGACCTGAAGTCTGTCTGATGCTCTTCAACTTTGCTGGAATACTCTATACCACCATGTGTATCCCACAAACGATGCCATATGGCTGTGCAAAATACTTGCTCATAGAGTTTAAGGTGGTCAACCTTGTCTATTACATTTATAGAATTGAAATATAATTATCATTTCTAATAAATTGGAAAGTTAATCAGCTGAACAGCTTTTCACTATATTTTCATGTTATTGTTTTTGTTATATTGATTGACTTCATTATATTATGAGTTGTTGCCAACGTTAATACTCACATCCATACATGTTTGTTGATTCCATCGATCACGTGTATTAATTGTTCATCTTGCCTACACTTCTTCCACCGTCCATTCATCATTACTTAATGTATATCACTTCTGAATCATATATATATATATATATATATATATATATATATATATATATATGCATGTCGGTGTGTTCGTTCATGCATAAAATGTTGGTAAGTATCAGAACAGGCAACACCCAGATGAGAATGATTATCCATTGTATTTGTATGTAGGCTTTTTCTGTTTTCATGTTGTAGCCATTTCCAGAAAATAAAAATGTATATAGCTAGATTGGGTAGTGATCATACAGTAAGAGAAAGATGAAATTGTTAGTGTCTTTGTTCTATAAATTTATTTTTATAAATTATTGTCATTGTAACTAGTCTGATGTATGGATTATTAATTGAAACAACAATAAAATGATTTACACATTAATGATGTCAAAGAATTGACTGATTCACTTTGACAGTAGTCTTCTTCATGTATTCATATCCAGTAAATAAACTCTAAAATTAGAAAATCAAGTGAAATCAATCTATCCCGTACACATCTTTCAATAATAACTAAAAAGCATCAAGATATATCTCCTGAAGGTCTTTATTTCAATCTACACACAAACTTAGTAAAACACAGGCATCAAAAAATGCATCAAGGTATTAATGCAACTCATATGTTCACTCACTTTATGTGTGATGACCTGTTGCCACCTGAAGCGGGATAAGAACTCCACGCTCCACTACTTGAAAGTCGAATACTCACACCATTGAACCGTAGTTTTCACTTCGACTTCAAACTGCTACCCATGGAGTTAAATAAGGTTTAAAGGACTGGCTGGATGCCTTTCGACACTTTGGGAAGCTGATATCGTTATATTCCCCTCCGATAGCTGATATCTTGACTTGGTGGTCGGAATTGTATATCACAATGACCCAACGAGCTACACTGGCTGGAAAACCTGTTCCCTACAGGTCCTACCATGCCAGAAACGTCCGTTGGGTAATAGTAAGACGAAAAGCAGTTACTGTTGTAATGTAAGTTGCTACACTATTATGGAGGTTCGAGGGCGAAGTCGTACTGCTGGCTGGTTGGGTTGTGATAACTGTAAGGCGTTTCTCTTGGATGACCAACAGTGTCACGCTGATACTGCCTTCCCGATGGGAAGGCGGGGGTTGGGAAAAGGTCGGCCGCCAAACTAACACATCACTCCGCTCCAGAGATGTAGAGCAGAAAGTGTGCTTCTCGACTGGATACCAGTCAACAGTTGTTGGTGTGTTGTTAGACTGGATGGATTTGTAGAAACTAGGAACGATCGGGAGACTAGTCGAAACTTATTTGTAATCCCTGCCGACTCCCACCGACTTCAGTTCAGATGTTACAAAGGATGAATTCTATGAGAAGTCAATTTTGCTACAGAAAGCAAAACGTTCAGATGAGGTTATAATGGTAGGTGACTGACGTTAACACTGAAGTAGAGTAGGGAAGCTGAGCCAATCGGAGAGGTATCTTGGAGATATCGACGGAATCGCACGCCAACGAACTGACAATAGTAATCATCTCTCGCACTTTTGTTCTGACAATTACTCGTTTCTGGCCAGCAGTAACTTTAGGCAAAATGTAGGGACACTGTCTCATATGGTGTCGACATTAAACCAACGATGGACATAGATAGATAACATTGACATGTCATCATTGAAGGATTGTTACTCTTTCTGTAGTACCAGTTTAGACTCCGGTCAGGCGCTAGTACGGGCTCATGTATATCCGTGCCTTAGTGGTAGCTGGAAACAGGTGACAGTGAAGCCTGTGTATTCTCGATTGGAAGATGAGGACGCCAAGTGCTCATTTTGGGAGGAGGTAGATAAGCGTTTATCTGAACGCGACAGCAGCGGTCATTGTAAGGAAACTTGGTGTAATATTCACTGTCCTATGGAAACAGCAGTAAAGATAGCTGATAACATACATCCGAAGGTTGGCAAACGTCATTGGATTTCCGCAACCTCATCCGAACTGGTTGATATGAGAAGACTGATTCGAGATAGCTTTGACTGCAGTGAGGAGTGAAAGCAACTTGAACGTTAGGTGACGAGGAGTCTTCGCAATGACGCTCATGAGCAGTGGTGGATAACAAGAGATAGAGAGAGTTGGAGAAGGCGTCAGTGTCGGATAAGATGGATACTACTTTTAGTGTAACACATAACGCATAGTTCACCTGACCCTTAGTAACCTCGATGTCTTTCCTCCAACTCTCCTTCAAGTTGGGGAAGCTATGTTGAACCTGAAACGAAGCAGAGGAGCAGGATCTCAAGAATGGAGGTAGGAAATTGTCAATTAAAGTGACAGGGCTACTAAATAGTGCATGGCAATCGGGGTCCCGTCATATTAGTTTGGTTCAGCGATCATCCCAAGAAAGAAGATTGAAAAGTCTTCCTGTGATTAGCAAAGTTTGACTAAAATTGTTTATGATCCTAGGATCCATTATTATTCGACGTCTTACTGGAGCTCGAGAATACCACCGACCATATTTTCGTCTCCCGATTGGTCCTGGAAAATAGTCATACCTACTAGCGGTCGGCAATTGCCATATATGTTGACTCTGTCAACCACGAGGTGTTATGATAGTGTCTTCATGAAGTAGCGGCTGAAAATATCGCCAAACCTGGTGACCAAACGTTCACGACAAAATACCAAAGCTCACAGAATACTAAACCATCATCTATCATCTCTTTAGCGTGCACTTCGCACCTGTCAAGTTTAAGTTGATGCTCCAAGTATCGTCTGCAACTATTCCCAGTTTAATGATAGGCAGTCGGGTGTTGAAATATGTTGACCGCTTCACTTGAGGAGTTGCATCAGCCTGAACGGTCTTGTACCGAACAAATCTCAGCTCACACGCAGAAGACCCAATTCGCATTCGCCAACTCGCATCCTGTGCGACGCCGACTGGCGAGATATCCAATTGTCTATCAATCAAAGGAAAAGTAGGCCGCGCTGTAGTCCGTTCTGTCCTCTTATGCGATTGTCAGACAGTCGTTCTAAGTAAAAGATATGAGGCGGTTGCAGGGTGTCGATCATAGTTATTTTCGTAGGATTGCTGACATTTCGTGAAACCACCGTTTGAGAAATGTTGTTGTCAGGTGTAGGGTACTAAGCAATATGGGCAGATCGATCGATGAGGCTACGAACCTTCAACTGAGAGTTAGCTTGAACATTTTCTGTGCATGTCGAGTCACCACCTACCTGGACGTGCCATTTTAGGGGAAGTTGGATTTGGTTGAGAGAGGGTTCAGGGTGCCCACACCATCAGTGCATGAAGTCCCACCCAGACTGTTGACCCGAGCCATGTGGGGAGATGTAGACCATTTAACTAGGGTCCTCGAAAAGATAAGAACCAGTGATTGAGTGGTCGGTGAAATGGCTGACAAATTGGTCGCAATGGCGTAGATGCATACACTTTTTCATGTCTTCTGAGGCTTGAATGTTTTAAATAACCTTGATTTTTAAATTCCTCCTCGTCTCACACACTTGTCTACTTTGACAT